GGTGGCTCGGAATGCTCGAACGTGAGCCGGTGGCCAGTGAAGGAGTCACCAATTCCAATTCCAATTCCAATTCCAATTCCATTTCCATCTCGAGCTCTGATATCTGCATAATTTGTGTGAAATTGCGACTACAAATTGCTCATCTGAACCGCTAACCCTTCCGCAAACAAAAGAAACGACTCTGCCGGACTTTGGTTTCCACGAAACGCTTTTAGGGGCCGCAGAGGTGGAGTCAGCAGCAGCTGTAGGCCCAACAAGCGCCACACGAGCGCTGTTATCAAGGTGCTTTATTACGCCCATAACCCTCCCTCATATGCGAACATGTGCATCTCGCTCTCTGCTCTAGATATAAATGTACATTTACAATGGAAATTGTTTGTTCTCTCTTTGCAGTTGTTCCAGCCGCTCTTTCCATGGATATAATATCGTTTTGCCTAGCTCGCGGTGACTATATCGTGTATCTTGCATCGGAACGAGGTATTTGCAATTTCGTGTTGCTTTTTTTTTTGCTATTTTCCCCACTCCCAAGCCACTGCCAAAATGCGTCTGACATTGCCTGCCGGAATGCCTGGCTGACTGGATGACTGGCTGACTGGCTGCCTGGCTGGGCGGTGACCGGAGACAGTGACGGCGATGCTCGTGCTCGGGTGGGAAACAAATAAATAATTTAAACAAATGTTCGCTTTTTGCTGTCTTGGCATATGCGAAGCGAAGCTCGCTGGTGCTGTTTCTGTTTCTGTTTCTGTTTCTGTTGCTGTTTGTGGCTGCAACAAATGAGCTTGTCAAGTTAAATGGCACGCACCAAATGCTGTCAGCGAGGTTGCACGCACACAGAGAAAGATGCGCTCGTGTGTGTGTGTATCTGTGTGTGTGTGCTTGGCATTGCCGCCATTTTGTCTGGCTGCACTGAGTAAATTGTTGCAATTGCTGACTGTAAATAAGCGAGCACAATGTGGCACAACACGGCGTATTAGTAATCTAGTTTATTTTCTCTCTCCGTGTGTGCGTGTGTGGCTGTGTGGCTGTGTGGGGCAAGGCTGCTCAGCTGCAGCTGCCACAAGGCAATCTGAAGGGGGGGAGAAGGTTGCCTTCGGGGCATGCCATCCATGGGGACTCTCATGTCAATTGATGTTTGCATTTCCATTTCACAAATTTCACAAAATCCACAAATATTTATGCTCAACTTTGAGTACAGCTGGGGGGGGAGGCAAAAGTTTACTGCTGAAGTTTCTAATAAAAGAAATTACTTTCTGGATGACACAATGTTCCAGGATTCCAGCAGAGTTTTCCCATGCTTAGGAGCAACTTCTGGGAAAGGGACAAAAATGTCTCCCCCGAAGGGTGAAGCGATCGTAGGATGCCCCCGCCACATAGTCTGGAGCATCCAGCAGATACAAGATACAAGATACACGCCACAAGAGAGGCCAGAAAGAGTCTGACTCTATTTTTAATATCTTATCAGAGGAATGTTTATTGGCTTTGTATTGTTCTGTAAATATTAATTAGTTTCTTTGATTGTGTGCAGGAACAACAAAAGGGAATTCGCTCGTTCTTTCCTTCGTGTGTGTGTGTGTGTGTGTGTGTGTATCTGTGTGAAGGGGGGGGAGATACTCCACGCTAGTAGGAGTGACGATATGTGACGCAGAACTTCCCTCTGGTGAAATTGCAATCGACGGACTCTAACCCTGCCTCCAACCTGCGATGACGCATGCCCCCTCTGTGTATCTGTGTGTGTGTGTGTGTGTGTGTGTGTGTGTGGGCATAGACATATGGCGACAAAGAAGCTGACGTCATGAGCCATCCATCCATCCCATGGCTCGGGGCAGAGACACACGCAGGAACAACCCCCGAAATGCGTGTCAAGACTTTGGACCCACCGAAGTGGGCACTTGGCCCACTTGCCACCACTCTGCACAGCTGCAACATCCACATACACATACACAGTAGTGGCAGCAGTCCCAGTCCCAGTCCCAGTCCCACAGCAGCCGCGTCCCACGCAGGCAATTAAGAGCGCGACTTGGCTATTGGGTTACACTTAAACTTCACTTCCATTCCGCTTGGTCGTTTGGCTGCGTCTCGTTTCGTTTCGTTTCGTTTCGTTTTGCAGTCAGCATTTAAAATTATTTATTAGAAGCAACAGTCGGACAGGCCGTGTCAAAGCGCGGGGGGATGTGGATGTGGATGTGGATGCGGATGCGGAGGAGGGGGAAGAGACAGGGCGGGCTGTGGACCAGGCCAAAGCGGAGAGCGTATCAAATGATTTTTTTTCTTTCGTTTTTTTTTTCTGTTTTTTGTTTTGGGTTTTGCCAAAACGAAACGAGCCAAGCCGGCCCCAGTCCCCCGGACTCCGGTTAGAGCCAGGTTCAGAGCAGCAGCGGCAGCCAACACGTTAAGACCGGGATAGGGGGATCTCCATAGCGGCAAAGGGGTGAAGACTCTGCTTCGGGTACGCGTAGAACAGCAGCCATCCCTGAGGAGAAAATAGAGTCTCGAGGGGCGGAGGCAGGAGGTCGCTCTCTCTGTCTCTCTCTCTCTCTCTATAAATAAGCCAAAAACTGTGAGCACCAAGAAGCTGAACCATAAATCATAAGCAGACGCACGAGTGTCGAGTTATTATGCGATCATATTTTAATTGCCGGATTATTATTATGCAGGCAGTGCCACAGCAGAGCTTCCCCCTCTCTGTTCGAGGCATGCCACAGTGGACAGTGGAGTCGCCAACAAGCAGCTACAACAACAACAACAACAGCATAATGAAGCGAGCAACTGTCCGGCAAACAAACAAAACACCTGCAGAGTCTCTCCAGTCTCCAGTGTTCAGTGTTCAGTGTTTAGTGTGCTGTCCCCAGACCCCATTCGAGATCGCATGTGGAGCTGTGTGGTGCAGAGTGGAGCAGACCCGAAGACCCGCGGAAGATTGTGGATCGCAGATCTCAGACCGCAGACCTCCTGGCTCTGCCTTGGACAGGTGCGTGAACGGAGATTGGTGAGAGGGCATTGGGACTCGGAGAGGCAGTCCGAATATGGAATGCTCTGAGTGTAGCACTTCCATATGCCATGTGTACAGACACTGCTCCTTGGGCGAGTGTCCTGGCTAATCCTGAGTGCTGCACCAACGACCAATCCTCAACGGCAAATGCTGCAATTTGCTTTTGTCAAGGGTATTCACGCATAGTGAATCGTGAATACGAGTAGAGTTTTGTTGTTGAAAAACCCAATTCACATGCAGTTTGTGGCTGCAGTTGCAGTCGTGGCCGTTGCAGATGGTGGGCAGAAGGGGCAAACGAGTTGGCCCCGCCACTCCACTCTCCCATGTGTGTGTGTGTGTGTCAGTTGGCTAAAACTGGTATGGTTGCATTTTTATTATAAAGCGAACAGAAACAGCAACAGCAACAGCAAAAAGGCGACACCTAGTAGTACGAGTAGTACCAGAGTGTCTGTTCTGTCCGATTGCCTATGTATGCGCTGGTGGGGGGAAGGGTGGGTGCGGAGGTTGCAGGGTGCAGTCTGGAGAGTGGCACTGGCACTGGCACTGGGAATGAGGACTGTCATCCAGGCCTAGTGTTGCCTGCTGCTCAGATGTCTGTGCCACGGACATTTCATGGACATCCACCGCAATGTGTACATTCATATTAAGCCATGTATCTGCCGCTAAGCCCCTCTCCGCTCCGCTGCTATACGCAGTTATTACCAACATTTCTTACTTCTTTATTGCTTCTTCTGTTTGCTTTTCGGTTTTAGGTTTGCGTTTTGTTGCGTTGTGTTCTGCTGTGTTTTGTCTTGGCATTGCCCCTCGGGTCGTAATTTGTATTTGTGTCCTGCCATTCAGCTGCAGCCTCATTCTTCAGCCTTTCCTCTCCTAATGAGCCAACTCATTGTGTGCCCTGCCCTGCCCTGCCCTGCTCTCTCTCTCTCTGATGGTTATGTCAATGTAATGCAGGAAATTGCCAGCGATTAGGTTAGTGACAATCCCAGTTGCAATGTCCGTGGCAGTGGAAGCTGCTGCAGCTCCAAAGGCCATATAAACAGAGGCACAAAGAGGTGGATTCGACACATCGTTACTAATTGGATAAACAATGTGGCTCACATGTGATTCATGCCACACTTCATGCAAAGAAGACGCTGCATACTCCATTTGCATGGAGCCACTGACTGATTCCCTCTTTAATCTCTCAATTGGTGAGCTTCAACAAATTAGATTACTCTCTCTCTCTCTCTCTCTCTCTGGGCTGGCAGCAAATGAATCATAAAGATTTCGTAGCAGGTCTCTTGATTCATTCTCAGCGAGCGAGCAAAGCCAAGCGCCAGCACTTTCGAAGAGTAAATTTCCGTCTGGCAAGAATTCTATGCAAATGTTTCTTATTAATTACTGAAAGGCATGCGTATGTACACGGTTTCGATCGTACGCAGAGACAAACATAGAATGATACTCGTGAATATGTTGAAATATTTGTAGTTTGAGCTGCTACTGATTCCGCTTCCGACTTGCAAAGACATTCCCGCGCTGATTTGTCGACTTATACATCAATTTGGCGAGGTATGTGGCGAGTACATAAGTACAGCATGTAGGGGCATGTCCAAGTGGGTCTAGTCTTTATGAGTTTCGAGAGTGGCGGAGGGGCAACGAGGCAGGAGAGCGCTTCGAATGTGATAATAGAATTCAAACAATTAAACAATTTTCGCAAAATGTTGACAAAAAAACAACAAAAGGCAGATAGCGCGGACACACACACACACACACACACACGGACGGACGGATACGGGGACCCGAAGTAAAGTGAAATGAAATGAAATGAAATGAAATGAAATGTTTATATGTTTCTCATTATAATAAAACAAAATCGCACGCTCTCAGTCAGCGGGAGAGAGCAGCCCCTGCCCTGATTCCCCGATCTGATCCGCAACAAAGTGCGCAGCCGGNGGGGGGGGGGGGGGGGGCTGGGGTAAAGATTAATTGCAAAAAAAAGAAAAGAAAAGTAAAGTAAAGACGCAAAGTTTACCCGTAATTACACTTCCAGATCGGGGGCGCTTCCAGACCCAGACGGGGCGGCGGGTGGTGCCAGAAATTGGCGGCAGTGCTCGTAACAACAGAATCGGAAATTAATTATGCTTGACATGTTGTTGCCTTCTCTCGCCCGTGGATCACTTCTGGGTTGGGGGTGGGGTTTGGGTTGGTGTCGAGCCTCAGGCTGCGGCTGCGGCTGCGGGGGCTGGCGGTGCAGGGCAGGTGTTGTAGCCAAGCCACAGTTGTTGCTTCTGCTGCTGAGCTTGTTGTAATTGTTGCTGTACTCGCACTCGTAGTTATTCTTCTAGTTGTTGCTTCTATCGAGATTGCTGGAGCTGTTGTAGTTGTTGCTGTTGGTGTCGATATGAATCGCATTTTCAATTGCCTTCTCTTTTGTGTGTGTGTCTCTCTTCTCTCTGGCACAAGACAGTGCGGCAAGAGGGGGGACACGGACACGGAACTCAGAACTCAGAACTCCACTCCACTCCACTCCACGCAGGCGAGAAGAATAATTCTCGCTCCTCAGAAACGCATAATTTATTGAAGCCTGCGCACGCCTTTCATTTCCATTTCTACTTTGATTTTGATTTTGATTTCGATATTTCGTACTTTTTTTTCACACACGTTTCTAGCTTCCCTCCTCATAGAGTGATACTACAGCTCCTCCTACCTCCTCCTTCCAGGCCGCTCCACGGACTACGCATACGACGCGTTGTCTCTGCTTCTGCTGCTGCTGCTGCTGCTGCCTCTGCCCTGCCGCCTGTCAAAGGTTCAATTTGTGTGTCGCGAGTGCAATTTGCATTCAGAATTGAGATTGAGAATTGGGAATCGCGGGGAGAATAGAATGAAATTGCGCGCCAATTTGTTGCTTTTGTCGCCGCGCACAATGGAAATGCCCCTTTGTGGGTCTCTCAGATCATAAACAAAACAGGGGAAAACAACTCAGGGAAAACTCAGTCAGGGAAACACGCAGAAATCACAGCTGAACAGCAGCTCCGTTGATACTGGCTTCGTCGACGATGCCCTTTTTGTTGTCCAATTTTTGGATTTTTGAATTTACGTTTTTTGGCGAAATTCGATTGTGGGAATATTACGCTTTGGGGCGAAACTGGTGAATGGGTTGGGTGCTCTACAATCAGCGGACCGATCAGCAGTTGACACTCGGACGCGCGCGCAATTTTCACCCGTGCAAAGACTGTTTTGTGTGTGTTTTCCGGGCCAAACCAGCGGCGACGCGACGACAGTTTCTGGCGCTTTTCGCTTTGCTTTGCTTTTCTCTTCTTACGATTTGTTTGCGTGTTGCGTTCCGTTCGCCGGCTCTCGTCGAACTGAACGAACTGCCGGATCCGAAGTGGCCCGAGCCCGAGCCCGAGCCGAGCACTTGACGTCGCAACAAGTCTGCGGCAGCGAAGCGACAAGTCGGGCTGGCTCGTGGCTCTCCTCAATGTCCGCATGCAGCGTTGCCCGAAGATAAAGCAGCGCTGTTGCAGCGCAGCAGCAGCAGCAAACGGGGCTTCCTTCGTTTTCTTGGGGGCTCGAACTTGGCCCATGCGACCCCAGGCTAGACCCATACGCACAGCGCAGCCTCTGAAGTAATTAGCGGGGAATGTAGTGCGTTCGACGAGTGTGGTATGCCCCCAAAGATAGTTAGATAGATGCTCGTGGAGCTCGTGTAATTGCCAAAACATCAAAGCCGGTGCCTGTGTCGCAGCAGAATGATTGGCTGCAAATTGAATTTCAATCCTCAGTCGCATTCGCATTCCACTGCCTTGGTTGGGGGGAAATGAACACCTTGTCGGTGGCAAAGTGTTAACAAGTGGAACATGACCCTCGCCCCACACACCCCTCAACACCTTTGCACACATGGCCTGGACTCAATTCAACACCAAATGCTTTTCAGTTCCCAGAAATGCTGCCAATTATTCGAATTCAGCAGTCAGCTGGCATTCCGTAATGTCTGCTCGGGCACGGGTTTCGCTTCTTCCCTCTGTCATGGGAATGGAATCAGGCAGGCAGGCAGGCTGGCAGGTGGGGTCTTTCCCTCTGTGATTGATAAGAGCAGAACATTCGATGTACAATGCGTACGTAGTATCGACGAGAGATTGCCACTCCTGAATGAATTGAAGTTCAAGTGTGGGCTGGGCTGATAAGATCCAACAAATTGCCACACTGTGTGTGCTGATGGGTGACTTTTAGTTTGTACTCCCCCGCCGAGTTCCCACAATTAGCAGTTCCATTTATTATATTAAGTGATTCTCCTTCGAACAGCACTTAGAGTTGCACTCTGCCGCTCTGTGGCATTTGCTTATGGTGCGGTGGAGTGCAATAATGGCACTCTAAGCTCTTAAGAGATACAGATACAAATATATGTACGAAGCGACGGGGGCCCTGGGATAATTCACACTTAACCCGCGGCCAAATCAAATGGCCAGCCATTTGACATTTATGCCGTGGCGGCTCACAGACGTTTGGAAAATCTGCTGCCAGTTTGGAAAATGCCATCGCGAACTTGCAGCTGAGTTGGAGATGATTTATGCACTCATTGTATGTGTACTCGTACTCGAACTCGAACTCGATGGAAAATTGCTGCAGTTATCACGAACGATACTCAGCCTGACTGGCTTTTGGCTTTAGGCTGAGGCTGAGGCTGAGCCTCTGCGGCTTGGTTTCCCAGGCTATACATTTTGTCACAAGAGGTTGCCTAGTCATTATTTATGAGGCAAGCCAAGTCGGAGCGGAGCGGAGCGGAGCGGAGAGGAGAGGACCAACCAAAAGCGACGTCAACGATCGACGGACGTCGGTGTGGCTCAGCCAGGTGGGAACCGTGACGCAGTATGTGATTTACTTGAAAATTAAATAATTGCGTTTCATTAAATGCTATTTGCATAGTGCCTCCCACCTCCACCCCCCCGTGGGGCAACGTGCAAAGCAATTTGGCATAAACGTCATTGGGTCGAGTGGTGGCGGATGGAGCGGATGGAGCGGATGGAGCGGATGGGTGGGTGGGTGTCTGGAAATACTCGTAGCGTAGAGTAGTAAGCCAGAGGAGACTCCCTGGCCGCCCTACAATTTTCCACGCCACTTGAGCGTAATTAAGCGTTGAGCTCCTAAGCGCTCAACAAATAAGCAAAACCGTCTACAGCCTCAGTCCCCAGTCTCCCGAGTCTCATATCTCCCCGCAGATGGGATTTACTTTGGGAATACTCCGAACGCAAGTACGTACGTTAGGAGTATATTTATGGAACAGTTTCCGCAGCGCATCGATGCTATTTTGATATGGGCAAATATTTGCAATTGGCCATTATTTGCACTCGGGCCCATTCGCATGACTCGATTTCGGTTTCAGTCGCGACTATTGGCTTAGCAATTTGTGGGTCTATTTTTGGCCAGAGCAGTCGATGGCAGGTGTTGATAAAGCCAGGCCGAATCGCGACCAGCCAGAGAGTCAACACGGAGGTCTGGCCCCTGGGCGCTGGGAGCTCTGGGCATTTTCCAGAAGGTTACCACGCGCGCGACACTGGCCAACTGGCAAGTGGGAGCGCGCACAAACAAGCTGCTCGAATTTCCCTAATGGCCAGAGTTCATTTGCCCCAAACAGAATGCCGCCTGCTGCAAAACAGTGGCAGATATTGATACCCGCCCGAAGCAGCACTCGAGGACGATTGGAGGACTGAAGGAGGAGGAGTAGCTGGAACAACAACTGATGTCTGATGTCTGATGTCTGATGCCTGATGTCGGCGGAGTCAGAGTCAGAGTCAGTGTCAGACAAAGATCAAGTGCTGCTCCTGTGCCGTCTCCTCTTTCGCTGTTTACACAGGCGGCACGGCTCTCACACTGTAATTATGTGGTGGATCCATAGACCAGCCCCAGGCCCAGGCCCAGGCCCAGCCACATTGGCATTGCCATTGCCATTCCGTAGCTACAGTCCCCTCCCATTCACATTAACAACATATTGTCAAGTTGGCTAATTGAAAGGCCAAGCCACATGTCCATATAACAATAAAGGGGGCGTTGTATGCTGGATGGTGTATGGTGGATGTTGGATGGAGGGCGTGGTTGTGGCCGGGTCAGTGCATTGCCAATTTGACAGGGCCAATTCGACGGAGGAGGAGGAGAAGGCAGAGAAATTGAGTATTATTTACCGTTGGCCCTGTCAACACACCTAACAAGGCGGCGTACGCGCCATTTGTTGGCCAGAGCCACAGTTGAGTGCAGACTGGCCAGTGGCCCCCAAACTGTGCGTACAGTTTGCATTGAACTGTGATGGTGGTATTTCCTTTTGGATTTTGCATTTGCATTTGCATTTCGGTGCACTCATCCAATTCGAGATAAAACTCAACTTGATCTCAATTGAAACCATAATTAAATCGCATCGAATTACACGCCCGACCCGACTCTGGAGAGAGCGTGGATTTGGGCGTGGAAGCGTGTTTTTGGGGGCCATGCAATTAAATCGAACAAGTCGCCGGCTGATGCGTTGCCGCAGATTATTTCGGAAATGCCAATCAGATGAAAGGGCCAGCAGCAGCAGCAGCCATATGCCGTAGTGTGTGTGTGAATTGTCGATTACCCGCCTTCTGTCTGAGCATTTCGCCAGTGAGTCAACCGGCGGCGTCGTGCCGCTGACCAATCTCTGTCACGCTGAAAATGTTCAAGTGATCAAAGTACAAGTGTGGCCAATTATTTTGTCTGGTGGCCAAGAAGTGTGTGTTCTTGGCTCGCTGATGTCCGACCGACGCAATCCGAAGCAATTTCGCTGGGAAGAGACAGGGGGGAATGGAGCGTTCTTGTAAAATGAAAGCCTGGCAAAATAAGTTTAAAATCGTTATTTATATTGGCAAACAATTTGTCTATGTGGCTCCAGCAGTTACAAACGTGTGTGGAGTTGTATATGCATATATATATATATCCATGTACAGAGGTAACTAAGACTAAATAATGCAACTTAGGCTACGAAAGGGACAGAGGGTGGCAACAATCTTTACACTTATCACTAGGGTACGTCGTCGTAATGCACTAATCTCAGTTTTAGCAGTCGTTGCTTAGTGTCATAAGCCGAATTTAAGGTATAACAATGACTTAACGTGATCTACTGTACACCAGGCGTTGTGCTTTCTTAACCATCACCAGTCATCGCGCGGCAGCCGGTACGTTGAGTTGTCGCTGCGCACTATGTGAATGCCGGCCCCGTAGTAGGGTATGACGTAGGCGGATCCGTCTGCGGGCCCCACCACCTGCAGGGCGATGAGGACTATGTCGATCAGCTGGCCGAGGAACATGCCGCCCAGCGTACAGAACTTGAGCAGGCCGATGCCCGGATATCCCAGGTAAAAGCGGTCCACTCCGAACATCCCGAGGAACACTGACAGCAGTAGTGTGGTGTCCAAATGGTAGCCATTCCTGTGAAGCAAAAGAGACGTATGTTAGTAATGGATATACGACAAGTCACGGCGCTGCACTAACGTCCACTTGCAGGGCACTTCCCGCGTGAAGGTCGCGTTGCCCGTTTCCGTGCAGTTGATTTCGTTGGCGGCGATGCACCACACCCTCGCCCGGCTCTCCTTGGTGCAGCCGCGCAGTTGCTGGGTCTTGGGATCGATTTGATTCTTGGCAGGATCGGGACACATGAACTGGCCCATCATCTGCAGCTCGTTGCAGTCGACATTTACTTGGTCTGATTTCGTAGTGAAGAAGAGCAGGAGCAGCGGGACAGCGCGCCAGTACATTTGTGGCTTTGGCTGAGTTTGGCGTGTGGCTTCGTTGGTCTGGTCCTTGGTGGAGGTGTTCTTGGTTTGGCCGTCTTGCTGGTTCCGGTTGCAGTTTTCGCTTTGACACGATTCGTTTTGTTTCGATGTTATGTTGGATTTTGTTGGGCAGGCAGGCACCAGTGTTGTTGTTTGGACTCATTGGCATTTAGGATTAGAGTGTGACCCTGCACTCGTGAGCGGCAAGTTGCGTGCAGACGAATGCGAAAATGTGCTGTTGCGCGCACATCTACTTTACAGTGTGCTGTTATGCGCAAAGTAGTTATTTCGAAATGACTTCTTTTTTTTTTCATTATCGTTATGTTCAATCCTCCACAAATTGCGCATAAATGTATTTTTATCATTGAAACAGACCCGCCTGTTTATTGAAAATATACTTCTTGCACTTCAGCAGCACCTGCACGTCCCTGACCTTCTCAATCGTCGAATCGGAGAGAGCATCGCGGAACACAATGCAGACCTTGGAGCTCTGACCGAATGTCCGCTCTATGCAGCCCCTCTCTCCGGTGGACAGCTCAACCCACTTTCCCACGTACATGTCCCGGTTGGCCTCCTTCTTGAACAGGTTCTGGACAATCACCTCATTCGCGCTGACCACCCTCTGGATGCTCGCCAGTTTCTGCTTCCTCCTGAAGACGCGTAGCTGGGGCAGCACCTCTTGGGCGTAGTTTGTGTTCTGTGTCTGCCAGGAGATGTTGCCCCAGAAGGCCAGACGGCAGCTGTTGCTGTGTGCGTCCATGTCCAGCTTGGAGGCAATCACAGTCGTGCCCAGAGTGGTCAGGACAGGGCTCTCGAACTGCAGGAGGGCAAAGACGACACCGGACGCCGGCAGTCCCGCTGGCAGCAGCTCCTCCACATACTCATACTCCCTGCTGATGTCGAAGTCCGACGGTTGGGCTTCCGTGTCCTGGAACAGGGTGACATTGGCCATCACGGTGTCATGGCCCACGCTGATGTGGAGCTTGCTTTTAGACTTGATGTCGTGCTTGTAGTAGCGGATCGGCCTCAGCTGCAGGCAGACGGCGAACACGGGCTTCAGGTAGCCCGGCTGGGCTATCACACCGCGCTCCAGCAGCTTGGCATTGAACTGGGTGACACAGAGGCCGATGCGATCACCCATGGAGGCGCTGGTCACGTTCTCGCGGAACATCTGCATGGACTTCACCTTCCGCTTCTCCCCCAGCGCCGGCAGCTCCACTGTATCGTTGACCCGCACGCTCCCCTGGATCAGTGTGCCGGTGCAGACTGTGCCTTGGCCCTTGATGCCGAAGCAGTGATCCACGTACATCAGGAGCGGAGCACTCGCATTCCGCTGCGGCTCAAAATATGCATCGCTCAGTCCGGCACGCAACTCGGGAATGTTGGTTCGCTCCAGGGCAGACACTGCATACATGGGAACTTCGCTGCCGAAACTTGTGGCCGCCAGAGTCTTGACAAGGCGCGCCCGCAGCTTCTCCAGCTTGGCTTCCCTCTGATCGTCCGCAAAGGCGTCGATTTTGTTGATGACCACAATGAGCTTCTTCCGCAGCAGCTCCCCAATGACGAGGCACTCTGCTGTCTGCGTCTGAATACCCTTCTGGGAATCCACCACGAGCAGCATTAGGTCGATGATCTGGGCACCTGCAGAGGAGCATTTAATTACCCTAAGGGATCAAATCATGGATGGGAGACGCTCTCCTACCTCCTATGATGGTGCGTATGAGACTCGCATGGCCCGGGCAGTCGACGAACGTGAACTGTAGCTTATCAGCCGCTCGATCCGGTGCCTCCACGAGCAGTCCGCTGAAGCCCAAGTCCAAAGTGATTCCTCGCTCCGCGGACTGGGGATTCTTGTCGAAGGCTGCTGTGCTGGAGACGGAGCTCAGAGCTCTTGCCAATGTGGTCTTTCCGCTGTCCACGTGCCCGAGCAGGCCAATATTAAAGTTTCTCACTGGCATTTTTCACCGGCTGACGAACAACATTATAAACAAAGTGCCATAGGGGCGGGAGAGTGTCGATAACAGCAACATGTGACATAACAGGGGTACTCCTGTTTACATTAAATTAACACAGCATTGCTTGCACTCGCTGCTATGTTAACACCTGATTTCATATTGCACAAATTATTTTAACATTATTGCTTGCATGGAAGTAAGTCTATGTAAGTTAACATAACAGCTGACTGTTGGACAACATTAGAAGAAAAACATTAAATTCTCTTATCTTGAACAATTATACGAGGTCGCGTTAACAATGCTGATAGGCTTAAGTGGCAAGTGTAGATTTGCAAGACATCTTTTGTGCCTACTTTTGTATGCGAACACACACATGTACATGTACATGTACATGCACATACGATCATATATATATACACACATTCATTTACAAGTCCGCGATATGAAAAGTCGAAAGAGCAAACGTGCAAAGTTTGTGGCTGGCTTCTCTTAATAAAAGTGAAAACGATGGTGGGCCCTCAGTTTGCCGGAGCAAGTAGCAGGAGCAGCAACAAGTGGAGATCGCATTCACACAAAGGAAAATGGCACCCTCAGTGATCCCAACTACCGTTAATCCGGATATCCAGAAGGAGCGCAATGCGGCCAGCTTCAGCAGTGATGAGTTCGCGGCCTGGTGGTCAGGGGGCGAGGAGAAGCTAAAGTTCAACCGAGACGTGCGTACGTAAACAAACTCGAACCGTTTGCTAATCTTACGGTGCCAACAACTCGATTACCTTGGCATGAAAATCATGCTGACTGTGCTGTTCTGGTTTGGTTTGCAGGCGAATACCTGCAGAAGGATATGGATGTGGAGGAGGTGCGGCAGATTCACAACAAGTCGCATGAGGAGATCTACGAGCTCTCCAGCAAATCGGCCATTGCTGCGGCCAGGAAGCTGCAGCGCCTGCAAAAGGAGCGCAATCCTGGGGGAAACGACTACTGGCCGTGAGTGGATCTGCCGGAATGTACCCTACTGATAATAACAACTTGGCTTTTGTCCGCTTCAGTGCATTGTACGATAATCAGGTCATGTGGGGCCTGGTGCCGGGTGGCAATCCCTTCGGCGTGATGTACGTGATGCTGGTGAAGGCGCTGCAGGCTCAGTGCACCCCCGAGCAGTACGAGGAGTTCGGCAAGCGCATAGAGAACTTTGAGGTCTGCGGAACGTACGCCCAGACAGAGCTGGGACATGGCACGTACCTTCGCGGACTGGAGACACGTGCTGATTTCGATCCGAAGACGGACGAGTTTGTGCTCAACACTCCCAAGATATCCTCCTACAAATGGTGGCCAGGAGGCTGTAAGTGCAATTGGACCTTTAGTTTTCCCCTCGAGATGTAACCTACAAAACCTTCTTCCAGTGGGCCACAGCTCCAACCACTGCATGGTGATGGCCCAGCTGTACGTTGACAACAAACCCAAGGGCCCACATATGTTCTACGTACAGGTACGCGACGAGGAGACGCACGAGCCCCTGCCCGGCATCCACATCGGCGACATTGGCAAGAAAATGGGCTTCATTGGCGTGAACAATGGGTTCCTGGGCCTGAAGAACGTCCGCATTCCCCGCACCCGCATGCTGATGCGCCATGCGCAGGTCAATGCCGACGGCAGCTACGTCAGCAGTCCCTCGAATGTCCTCACCTACTTTGCCATGGTGCGCACGCGCTGTGTGATTGCCTGGAACAACGCTGTCATGCTGGCGATTGCCGCTACCATCGCCACTCGCTACTCGGCCGTGCGCCGTCAGAGTCCCATCAATCCCAAGTGAGACCCATGCACCTCTGCAGCTCAACGTTAAATTAATTTGGTCACTGTTTCAGGGAGCCAGAGCCACAGATTATGGACCACGTGACGCAGCAGATGAAGCTGTTCCCGGAGATAGCGACCAGCGTGGCCTACCGGCTGGCCAGTGCGCATCTCTGGAATCTGTACGACATTACCTTGGGCGACATATCGAATGGCAGGTACGAGCGTCTCCCGGAGCTGCACTCTCTGTCCTGTGCCCTGAAGGTGAACTGCTCCTCTGACTCGACCATTGGCGTGGAGAGGCTGAGACTGGCCTGCGGCGGACATGGCTATCTCAGCTCCTCCAACATGGGCAATGTCTACGTTAATGCCACGGCTGCCTGCACCTATGAGGGCGAGAACACGGTGCTGCTCCTGCAGATTGGCCGCTTTCTGATGAAGTCGTGGCGAGCGGCATTGAGTGGAGCTCCGCTGGCGCCGACCGTCAGGTACTTGGCTGAGGTCCAGAAGAAACCCGAATTTGGCTCGTGGACCGGCACCTGGGATAACATGGTACAGGCCATGCAGTTTGCTGCTGCTAAGTAAGTGGCGCCCCCCATTTCACTTGATTGCCCTTCCCTGACAATCACTTTACTTGCAGGAAGACAGCCTTGGCTTTCAAGAGCCTCTCCAGTCGTCTGTCCAGAGGCGAGACCGAGGAGACAGCGGCCAACCACACGGGAATCGAGCTCACTCAGGCAGCAGAGGTAAGTTTGCTTACATAGTTTGGACTTTGGCCCGCTCTAATCTTGATATGTTTTCTCACAGCTGCACGGCCGCGCCTTTGTGTTCTCCTCATTTACCGATGAGGTCACTGGTCCCAACGCAAGGACTCGTTCAGCGGCGTTGAACCAAGTCCTGGAGAACCTTCTGGAACTGTACCTGGTCAAGGAGTCGCTTAATCACATGGCCAACTTGCTTAGAGTAAGTTGACCCAAACAGAATGTTTGCTTGCGCACCACACCGTATTTGAACGATTGATTTACTTTTGCAGTTCATCAACTTGACGGACACGGATCTGACCAGGCTGCAGGACCGCCTGGAGACGGTGTTGACCAAGCTCCGTCCCGATGCTGTGGCCATTGTGGATGGCTTTGACTTCAGCGACGTGCAGCTTAACTCCACGCTGGGCTCCTTCGACGGCAATGCCTACGAGCGAATTTTCGATGCGGCCATGAAGAATCCCATGAACCAGAAGTCGGTGCCAAAGTCCTTCCATGAGCACCTTAAGCCCTTCATGAAGTCCAATATCTAGTGTCAGTGCAATGTGTATATGCGTGTGCATATGCCTCTAACAAGTGGGTGATTGTTTGATCAAAATCTTATATTTATTATACTATTTCTGTTTTGCTTACTTATCCAGTATCCGTATCGACCAGATTTAGTTTATCTTGCCATTGCGCCTGTATGTCTCTCGTGATTTAAAGCAAATGCAAATTATGTACCATAAATTTATTATCACATTAAGTACAAGTTTTACTTGTAGTAACAGGTGTTTACCTTAGTTTTTAGTATTCCTTTGGTTCTTTTGTGCTAAAACTGGTCTTTGGCCTTGGAGATGAAGCTCTCCATCTCTTTCAATGAACCCAACACTGATGCCAATCCAGAGGGTGCTGCATGTGCATCAAGGTCGTAAATCGGCGAGTGGATCAAGTTTTCTTTTGCAACTGCAACTGGAGGTTCGGTGGCAGCGAGATCCATCATGTTTAAAGTGTCAACAGAAAACTTTGGCTTAAAGATGGATGCTTCACATTCGGCGGCACGTTCAAGCCAGGATCGTCTCTCCTCTTGATTTGTATTTCTATCTTTTCTACTTTCTACTAAAAGAGCATTTTCTGCTGTTACTGGGAGATTTAATGCAGGATCTACGATTTCCTTCTTGACGTTTTGTACTTTAACAACGGGAGGTTCCTCCTGCTCCAAGTTTGCTTCTGTATCTGGGCGATTATTTATATTTTGCGCATTTACAACAGAAGGCTCCTGCTTTACGTGGGCTGCTGCTTCTGCCTCATGTAAAGGAATAAAATCGCCAACGATCTCCTCTTGGGTGCTTTGGGACTCTTTGAACTCGAGTTTTCCTTGGGCACGACGTCGTAGCACCTTACGTTCAATATGATCTTTGTTGCTCTCCATTGCTTTGCGCTTCCTGCATTAAAAATTTCGAATGAATTTATTCCAAATCGAGTTATATCCGTAGAAAACTAACCTGTTACGTGGACTTAGTTTTTGAGTCGGTTTCGAAGAATGAGAGGCTGGGCTGCGTGTTGGATCCGACACTTTCGATGCTTCGGTCTTCCCATGGAAATGTGCTATGGAAGAATCTTTAATGTCCAATGCTTCCGTCAGTTGACGATAGTTAGCCGAGTATGCCAGCGTCTGTTCGTTCATTACATTGAAAGCCTCCAAATCAAACAACTTGGTGGCGACCGTTCCTGTTAGAAGACAAAAGGCAACTGTTGCACACAATCTTGTATCATCCGGCAGGCCACATACCTCTGCGCAGCTGGGCGCCCTCGATGCGATACTGCTTCAGCTCCTCATCCTTTGCTTGCAGCTGCTTGGTCAGCGCAAAGACCTGTTCCCGCATTTTGCTGGCGCACGAAATGGAGTCCAGGAAAACCTTGCGATAAAACTGCAATACAATAGCGATAATCAGTATTGGTGTGGACTCCATCTGGACAGTAACGAACCGAGGCTCTTTCCATGTGTGTCAGGTGCCACTCCCACTTGAGTGGCATGTTGTTCAGCAGTTTATATTTAAGTTTCAGAACGCATCCGGCACCCTCCTGGTTTGCTTCGCTCAGCGAAGTATGTGTGGGATCGCCACTGACCAGAACCACGCGTACATCATCTTCTGGGAATTTCACTCGGGCGTTCAGTGTCTGCAAAACATAAATATTAGCTCCGAATGTGTGTGCATTGTTTGCTGGCCGTCAGAACTTACCTTCAAGCGCTTCGTGAAATCGTTCGGGGCCAATGACTCTGTGTAGCTTTGCTCGCGCTCTTGGTCGAGACACTGCAGCTGGAAGCCAGTGTCTGGGCCAGTGGCCACAAAGTTCATAACAAACTTTTTTCCATTTATTTCTATTAGTTTAAGCATTTCTTCTTGTCAGTTGTGCGACCGCGGCATTATAGATGAAATATACCGACAGACCCTCGGAAATATACCCAAATATTCAGACAGACGCATTTTCAAAATATACTCTAAATATACTGTAAATCTTAACTCATTTTCCTCGATTTTGATGTTCTAATTGATATTACTAGCTAGTTAAGAGTGTGAGTGCTAAAACAATCATTTTCTCCGATTTAGCAATCGATTCTCCACAAGATTGGCTAGTTTTTACAATTTCCTTTTGTTGGAATGTTTACAAATTAAGTGACGAAATTTGCAGGAAACTTAACAGATGTTTTAGGTTTTAACAGCGAGATGTAAGCGAGCAGTATGTTAATTTGGTTATGTTATGTTATCTGCAACAGCGCTATGCTAAAAGTTAACGGCTGTCAAGCTTTTCTGGTAATTTCTCGAAAGGCTGTTCTACATGCTTTTTACACGATCGTATCGCGGCAGCCGATCGGCTCGCTCTCTCTGTTTTTTCTGTGCTTGCTCTCTCCTCAAATTGCACTTTGCCCCCCCTAAAGCTTCGAAATTCGAGACCCACGAGCAACTTTCGCTCAGAAATAGTCCGTACGATCTAGTACTTTGGTGGGGCTCACAGCTGTTGAAACATTCCGCTCTTTCGTTTTTTGTTAGTGCTGTTACTGTTGTTAGTTGTTATTAAACTTGTAAACGAACCAATAATGTCGCACATCAAGAACCTTATACCAAAAACGGTCAATCCCGACTTGGTGAAGGAGCGCACGGGCGCCGAGTTTAATGTGGAGGAGTTTGCCGCCTGGTGGCACGGCGGCCAGGAGAAGCTAAACACCAAACGCGAAATCGGTAGGTCAATTGGTACCGTACGAACGTCTGTGGAGGGCTACGTGATAGCTGGCCGTCTTCAATGGCCAATTGCAGCGAAAGAAAAAGATTCAGGGTCGGGTCCAAAGAGTTCGTCTAATTACCGGCAAAGTCCAAGAGATTTATACATTGTTAGGCGTGTGAACTACCAATATTGCTACAAATATCTATGCCAGATAATGATAGCAGCCAAGTTGGCTCTGTTGATAAGCGGCCACAGACAGTTTGCTTATCACAATTGGTGCTGGGGCTCATCCACGCCCCCAGAGCGATAGAGCGAGCGATAACTAAAGGCAATTTGTTTATATTTCTCGACAGAACGGGCAATCTTTAGCGATCTGGAGGATGGCTATGGGCTGAATCATGAGTACATGTCGCACGAGGATGTCTACAACTCGAGCGTTGAGAAAGTGGCAAAGGCCGCAGTGAAGCTGAAGGCTCTCCAGAACAAGATCAACCCAGGAGGCAACGACATTTGGCCGTAAGTATCAGCCGCTCAAGCTGCAAAGCGTTTCCTCTAATCCTCTAATCTCGGCCTAACAGCGGCTTGCTGTACAATGTGCAGAGCCACGGGCTTTTTCCCTCCAACCATCCACTGGCCACGCACATCACCATGTTCGTGGATGTGATCAAAGGTCAGGGCACGCCGGAGCAGGTCGAGAAGTGGGGCAAGGCGGCCGAGAACTGCAACATCATCGGCACCTACGCCCAGACGGAGCTGGCCCATGGCACGAATGTGCGCGGAATAGCCACGCGGGCGGACTTTGACCCCAAGACGGACGAGTTTGTCCTGCAGACGCCCAATCTGGAGGCCTACAAGTGGTGGCCTGGCGGCTGTAAGTACTGCACGTAGATAACCATGAAGCGTTCACTAATCTGAGAGGTCTTTCCCTTCCCCTCTGCCAGTGGGACATACTGCGAATCATGCCATGGTGGTAGCCCAGCTGTACATTGCCGATGTCCATCACGGCGTGCAAATGTTCATTGTGCCGGTGAGGGATGCGGAGACCCACATGGCGCTGCCCGGCGTGGACATTGGCGAGGTTGGCAAGAAGCTGGGCATGGTGGCTGTCAACCAGGGCTTCTTGGGGCTGGACAATGTCCGCATTCCCCGCACCAATATGCTGATGAAGTTCGCCAAAGTGGAGAGGGACGGCACCTTCAAGGCCAGCCCCGCCTCGAGGGTCAACTATCTGACAATGGTCTACACCCGCTGTCTGATTGTCAACCTGACATCCACTCTGCTGCTGGAGGCTGCCACCATTGCCACCCGATACTCGGCCGTTCGCCGCCAGAGTCCCATAGAGCCCAAGTAAGTGCTCAGAGACGTTCTTCATCCTCCTGTTAATCCCGTCCCCTTGCAGCCAGCCCGAGCCACAGATCATTGATCACGTCACGCAGCGTCTGAAGCTGTTCCCGGAGATAGCCAACGGCATGGCCTACCACCTGGCCGCGGAGCACATGTGGGAGATCTACGCCCAGACGGTGCAGGAGGCCAACAGTGGCAAGTTCGACCGACTGCCCGACATGCACATCCTCTCGTGTGCCCTCAAGGTGCTCTGCACGACAGACGGCTGTGCGGGCATTGAACGGCTTCGCCTGTCCACTGGGGGCCATGGCTACCTGACGGCTGCCAACATGAGCAACATCTACGGCAACGCCGTGGCAGCCTACACCTACGAGGGCGAGAACACGGTGCTGCTGCTGCAAATTGGACGTGCGCTGGTCAAGGCCTGGGCTGCCTTTGTGGAGAAGAAACCCGTCTCGGCCTCCTACGGCTACTTTGCGAGTTCCATGCAGCTGAAGCAGTTCCCCAAGTGGGACAACTCCTGGCAGTGCATCATCCAGGCCCTGCAATATGCGGCCGCTCAGTGAGTTTGAGATTGCCTAGAGATCCGCTAATCAATAGTTCAACCAATCTCTCTTCTCTCCGCAGCAAGACTCGCATTGCATTCGAGAATCTAGCAGAGCGCATGGCCAGTGGCCAGTCGCAGGGCGTGGCGGCCAATAACACTGGCATTGAGCTGGCACGTGCCGCAGAGGTGGGTTCAGCCTCTTATTGAAGTTATCTTTCAACTAATTTCCACTTGTATTGCAGCTGCATGGCCGTCAGTTTGTTTGCCAAACATTCCTCGAGCAAGTGACAGGTGCCAAGGCCCAAAAGCGATCGGCGGCTCTCAACAAGGTTTTGGAGAACGTGCTGGAACTCTTCCTCGTGCAGACGCTGCTCAATAACATGAACGATGTGCTGAGAGTAGGTTACATGGTGTGTAATGATGGCAGAGATCAACTAATTCAAATCTCCAATCCCAGTTTATCAGCCTCACCGATGCAGACCTCAAGTCGCTGCAGAAACGCTTGGAGGTGGCTCTGGACAACTTTCGTCCCAATGCAGTGGCCGTATGCGACGGCTTCGGCTTCCACGATCGCGTACTCAACTCGGTGCTGGGCAGCTATGACGGCAATGTCTATCCCCGACTCTTTGACTCGGCCAAGCGCAGCAGCATGAACCAAAAGCCGGTCCAGAAATCCTTTGAGACCTACCTCAAGCCATTGATGAAGGCCAATCTGTAAATTGTTTCGCGCCAAGTGATGCCTATATCTTTGATCTATTTCGTTTATCGATCTAATATAAATATGAGTAACTCTGTAATGAAGCCAGTCATACGTCAAGCACCAAATTCATAATTCATCATCATCATCATCATCGCAGTTGCCAAAATGTGCGAGGAATGCGAGTGTTCCACCTGCATGAATGACAAGCAGTGCTGCTGGTTCTTTGCAGGATGGAACATAGCCACGTCCTTCATGTGCACGATACTACTACTTGCATCTGTGCAAATTCACAAATACAATTCCTGGATGAAGGATGGCAGTGCTCATGGCAGTGGTGAGATTTGTTCAGCAAGTAAAAAGTAAATATCCACAAATCCACTTCCCTTACAGAGTTTCTCATTCTGAATAGTTGCGAAGCTAAATTGGCTTTCTGGTCAGTCATCCTTGCTGCCAGCCTAATACACCTTATGTCTGGGAGTCTTCTAGTCATTGGATTGTCCAAGGTGAGTATTCGCTGCAGTGCATAGCCATTGTCTCTACGCTGACTCTGCAGCATATCCGAGGTTGTTCTTGTTTGAGTCTTCTAATTGGAGTCTTCGTACTCCCCTGCCAATTCTCTCTTCTTGTTCGTTTCGATAGTCGACTGGCGATTTATTATTAAAGGAGCGTTTCACATTCGTTTAAGCTAGTGCTTATGCCACATGGAAACTGGAAAACACTCGGGAGGTTCGCATAGATTGTTGCTACAAAAGGTGTCGGGGCGGGGGGGGTTATGTTAATAGTTGCCTCAACGACAACTTACTAAGCTTTAACATAAGTACACGTACTTAGATTATAAATAATTTAAAGTGTTTTTGCCGGGATATGTGACCCTTTGGCCCACTGTCCTACTGGCCGCCAGCACGCTGCACATTGTCGAAGGGGACCAGCACGCCGGGAGGGCCTCCGAACCTGGACTGGCCAGGGCTGGCCACTTGACTATGCTGCTGCTGTGTCTGCTGTGTCTGCTGTGCCTGCTGGAAGGGTCTTGGCTCTGCCTGAGCAGAAAGAACACCGACGGGTGCCCCGAAGCCGCCGGTGTAGCGGCCCGGATTGACGGTGGGACGAGCTCTGTTGGCCTTGAGCGTGTTGCTAAATTCGTGCTGGCTGCCGGCCACGTAGATGCTGCCATTGCTGTCCTGACTGTTGGCTGCGGGATTGGTGTTGGCGCCGGAGCCGAAAGTGCCTGCAGCCTGGGGACGCAGCAGACCCGCAGGGGCTCCAAATCCTCCCGTGTACTTGCCCGTGTTGCTGGGGGGCGTCGACGTATCTGCAGAAGATTCAATCAGACGGAGATCTCTCGGAGGCATGGAAAGGCGTACTCACCCTTGCGCTGGCCACTGATCGGGGTGCTGATCACCTTTCCCTCGTCGCTCTTCTTGTACCCCACCTTCTTGGTGACGCCGTCCGTAGAGCTGCCGCCATTGAAGGGCGGGAACTGGTCCTCGCTGGCAGCCTTGGGAGCCTGGGTGGGTGCGGGGACGGGGACGGGGACGGAGGACTGAATGCCCTGGGGATCAAAGCGTGCTGCAAAATTGGTGACAGAGTTTGTAGTAGGATTTGGTGGGACGGAGCTGCTGGTGCTGCTGTAGGCGAAGGCCGTGGAGGTGGCGGTGGCGGTGGCGGACTCGTCGCTGGGCTTGTCAGCTGGCGGCACCAGTACCAGCGGTGGCTCTGGGCTCTCGTTGGAGCTGCTCTCGATGCCCTGGACGTTGCCTGGAAGCGGAAGCGTGACTTTGGATGGAAAAGCGGAGGAGACGGAGGCCGCAGCAGGTGCTGCTCTGGTCGGGAGTGGGGCGGGCGGGGAGCGTGGGGTTGCGGCTGATGCCGCCTCAAAGCCCTGGGGCCTAAAGTCATTGGGTTTACTACCTCCCGCCGGCTGCGTCGCGGCTGGCTCCTTGAAGTTGTCCGGATTGTAGGGCACTCCTGGACCCACATCGGGATAGTCAAAGTCCCTCAGCCAGGCCGGCACTGTGGACGAGTCAAAGGGGTTTTCCTCCGCTGCCGCAGGCGTGCTTGCCCCATCCAGGAGATCTGTATGGTGGGTGGTGGTTGGGATCAGTTTCGGTTTCTGTGGCTGCTGTGTCGTGTGCGGTTTCTGTGGTGGTTGTGTTGTGCTGTGCGTTGTGGGTATGGAGGGTGCTTTGGTGGTTCGCAGCGTGCTCGACCGCCGAGTGGGCGTGGTCGTCGTTGTTTTTGGGGCTCTGGTGGTGCTGCTGCTGGTGGGGCTGCCTGTGGTGGTGGGCAGTGGTGGAGGCCGCGCCGTTGGTGGCGGCGTCAACTGAATGTTGTTGAGATCCACGAACGGCTCGTACGGCGGCTCCAGATCCTCGGCCAGCGTGTGATTGTACTGGTCATTGTCCGTGGGCACAATGAAGGTGACGGCCACGTCCAGATCCGGATCCGTGACTTCCTGCAGCCACGGTGGCAGTGTGTACGCGTACTCCTCATTGTTGTCCAGCCTGTAGAAGGTTGATGGATCCAATGGGGTGGTGCTGCGCGGCGTTGGCTGCACCGTGGTCGTGCGCCTAGTCGTTGTGACTGGTCTCCGTGTGGTGGTTGTTCTCCTGGTTGTGCTGGTTGTTGTCGTGGTCGTTGTTGCCTCTGTTGTTGGGGGTTGAGTGGTGCTGGTGCTCCTTGTCCTTGGCGTTGTGGTCGTGCTTCTGGTGGTGCTATAGTGCGCCGAGCCGCGCTGACGATTGGGGAACCTGCCACCCGCATTGCTCGGCGTCGTGCTGCCCACATGCGCATTGGTGCCATGAGCTTCCGGTCCATCCCGCTGCAGCGGCACCACCGACACCTGGCCCTGCGTCTGTTGGGGCACAGGTGCGGCCGGGGTCAGGGCAGCTCCGCTGCTCAGGCTCAGGCCAATGTTGTGGCTGGTGGGATCCTCCACGCCCTGCACGTACCTCGTCGGCTGCTGCTCGGTGATTATCAGTGGCTCTGGGGTCGTGGCAGGATCCGTGAGATGCGGCGGCAGCAGATCCCAGGCGATGACACTCAGGGGCGCTGCATTCGGTGCGGGAGTCCACGGCACTGGGCCACCAATATCGGGATCCTGACGCTGCAGCTCTCGGATATACTCGGGCAGTGTTCCACTGGCCACCAGCAGCTCCTGGACGCTCTCCTCTTGCTGTTGCTGCTGCTGCTGCTGAATCGGCACCAGCTGTGCCTGCTCCACCTCCACATCCGTGGTGACAGTCGTCGTTGTGGGGGATGGGCTATGCTTTGGAGGTGTTAGTGATGTGGCTGGTATTGGTGCTGGTGCGGATGCAGATGCAGATGCAGATGCAGACACTGGGTCTGGTGCGAATGAGTTCGGACCGGTGCTCGTGTCCGAGGGCGGGGCCAGGCCCACTGCGATGGCATCTAGTTGGGAAGGATTCGTATTTGAGTAATTCACATCTGACAGTGGTCTGGATCCGTGCCTTAGATTCGAAGAGTGTGAAGGGCAGGGACAGAGATTGAGACTGGGACTGGCAATGGGAGGGGAGCTTCGACTTGCAGGGGATGCTGAGCCTATCTGTGTGATGGGTGAGTTCGGGCCAAAGGGATTCAGACGGAGCAGGGTGAAGGTGGGCGCAGAATGACGGGGACTGGGCGGGGCAATGGCATATTGGGTGGAAGTGGAAGTGGAAGTGGAAGTGGAGTTGGCTTCTGGTGAGTCCCGCTTGACGAGCTTTCCCGCACTGTCGTCTGTTAATGTGGTTAGTGGATCTACGTGAGTGGTGCTAATGGTTGTGGGTGTGGGTGAGTGGGTGCGGGTGCGGGTGCGGGTGCGGGTGCTATTGCTTGTGAGTGGTGCAACAAAGGCATTTGTGTCTGGTGTTGCTGTCAGTGTTGCGGTCCCTGCTGCACCGCTGGTCGCTGCTGCTCGCGCGGTTCTGGCCTTTGCTGCTCGGGCTGCCGCTGCAGCTGTTGTCAACTCACCAATGTGGGGCGGGAGCAGATCATCTGCCGGCTGTCGGATCTCCGTGATGCCGGACGCGTAGGTGGGTATCTCGAACTGGAGGCCCTGGGCGCTGACCACCTTGCGCCCGTCGGGAGTGTCGATGGGGCGCAGGCCTGCAATGGGATTGCCGTAGCTGTCGACGGACCTCTGTCCGCCTACCTCGGCCCCATTGAATGCCTCCGCCGTCTGCGCCAGTGGCGGCTGCAGCTCTAAGGCGAATGGCGATGGCCGTACATCTGCGGGAGGAGAAGGTTGCTGGGTTCAGTTCACTCTCTTGCAAAACTCTTCCGAGCCACCTCTTCACAGAGAGTTTGAAAGATGTTAGAAGCAGATGCAGATGCAAAAGCAAAAGCAGTAGAGGACAGAGTACGGAGTACGGAGTACAGAGACGAGGACTATGGGGTGGCTGATGGTGGTTTCTGGGGTGACAGATGAGTCGGCTGCGGGCGGCTCTTTGCCAATTTGCCTGCCACTTGCCGCTTTGCCGCTGATTGATTGACATTGACTGAGATGGGCCATACATTTGGATGGATGTCTCCTTTGAATGGGTGCTTCTGTTGTTGCTGTTGTGGCTGCTGTGAAGGTGTTTGCCATGCAATGTGGCTGCTGTTAGTTGCACAAAGGTCTGCCACCAAATAAAATTCAATTTTAAAAGTTAGTCACTCTAGACATGTGTGTGTGTGTGTGTGTGTGTGTGTGGGTGGAAGGTGTGGATGCAATGTGCTGGTGCGATTGTGTGGCTGCGACCACAATGTCCATCAAGTTCGTTGCCTAAGTCTTTGGTTTGCCACAGAAAGGAAAGCCCTAATAGTAAACTTATAAACTAATAAGCTTGTGATTTTCCGACTCATCTGCTGAGAAATCAGAACCCACACGAACCGCGCTGCACATACATACAGTCGCCTTGCCATTAGCATATGTGGCAGGCACTGCCTCATTGTTCTGCCCTCCATGGAAGTGTGGGAAACCATGTGACAGGCGGCACAGGCGGGACAAATTCAATGGCCAAATTAATTGTTAATCATTGCCGTACTGTGTTGTGTTGTGTTGGAGACTGTGTTACACCGCGCTGCGCTCGTGCCGAGTGCGAATAATTAATAACAATTTACGTGGAGGCTTTGCCAAAGTTCTCCCAGCTCAGCTCAGCTCAGCTCAGCTCCGCTCACAGCGAAGTGGCGATCCGATCTGCGATTTCTGATTTCTCGATTCCTGTTTACATCGGCATAGCTGAATAATATTTTAATAAGTCACTCCCTCCCTCCCTCTGCCATCCTCCGCTCTCTATAGCTAGGGGGGAATTCTGGAAATGCGGTTTCTGGTCAGAACTCGTCTGTGAGTAAGCCTCAAACTGAATGCCAAATCATGATGGGCGCTCCATTCATTCGAGTTGCTTAGTCTTTGGCACTGTTGGCCAGTTAGTTCCGGCTACTAAACATATGTGCATATTATATACACATTTTATACACCCACAAATCCTCGTACAATGCGATTGTGATTTGCATTCGAGGTGGGGTTGGGCTCTATCTGGATTCTGGCTTATCTGTGCTGCAAACCCTGAACTTTCCTCCCATTCGGAACCCATCTCGCACTCATAAATATGAATGCCTGAAGACCTGATGAAGATGCAAGCATCCACCATTACTCATTGCGGCACAAAGTGTGTTTTTGGTAATTGAAATTCCCTCCCAGCCACACTTCCGCCTGAGACCAGGCCTCAAGTTCAGGCCAATTAATTTTGCTTGTCTCCATCGTCATCTCCATCTCCATCTCCACCGACAACTCCATCTTCGTCTCCCGCTTACTCTCCGTTTATGTTTATGTTTATTCAATTTAATTTTAATTGATTGACAGCTTCACGACATCTGCACCCCCACAAGCCCATAAAGACAATGGGATTGCTGCTTGGAAATATCTACTCGTATTTTGCACTTGCCAATTGTACCTACAACTGTACAGTTTTGTACGTCTGTCTGTCCCCATGTCGATGATGCCGTTGGATGTTTCTTTCTTTCTTTTGGTTTGTTTTGGATGTACATATTTTTTGACAAGTTTCTGTGTTTAGTCAACCTTCGGCAGAAATCACACAATCAGCAAAAAATTGTAATGGATTTTGATTAATCTTCGCTTTGCATCATCCTCTCTCAGAGGGCCTTGAGTTATCGACTTATTGGGCTGCCAGCCCCCGCACACTCGACGCAACTCGATGCGAAAAATGTGTCAAAAGTCATCAAAATCAATCCCAAGACACAAAGCGAGTGTGTAAGTAATACCTTGTTTTTCAAATCAAATCAGACGCAAAGCGCGTGCTTATTGCACTTGAAACGTTTGCCATGATCGGGGAGCGGGAATGGGATAAATTATTGCGAAAAAGAAACCAGATCGCATGGAAATGTCAGCGGGAAGAAAATAGAGACTCTCCCATAAAGTCGCAGACATAAATATTTATTGGAATAAAACGAAACGGTTCTAGATGTCGCTGATTGGCAGTGTCGGTTGCTCTTTTGAAGAATTTGAAGATACTACTCCGTACTCGAGTGCGCGGATCGGTCTGCTGTGGCAATCGATTGCAAAACGAAATGTGATTTTCAATGACGAAATCAAGTTACTGCCGCTCTAGCGAGGTCCATAGTAAGTATGCACATATCTTCATCTGTATCTATATCTGGTTGATATCCCATTGTGATTTAATTACGATAAGCTCAAGTCGAGCCATTAATCATAAAAAGCGAAAATGAAGCACGATTCACCGCAGGATGGGGGACAGGCCGTGCGAACTTGCTAATTATCACGTACGGGTCCATTCATTACGATAAGTCCATTGATTGCCAAAATTCGACTTCTACCACAGACAAAGTATCGCATGAACAACCATAGAAATCCATTAGAGAAATACTCTGAGCATTAGATGATGATGCCCAAAGATTTATGGTTTCAGTGTCTGGGTTTCAGTCTGGTTATTATCCAATTAGTTGCCTCGAGCATATCCCTATAACTATTCCAACCTGTCCTTTTCTGGTCTACCGTTCATAGATGCTTCTTCTTTATCTGTGTTTTTTTTGTTTTGTTTTTTTTCAAGCTTCCCATTTGTGGCCCCATGACCTAAAAAAGAGACCCATCAACGGCGGATTGAAGCTGGTGTAAACAACTCTGTTAACAAATCGTCTTCTCGAAAGCGTCGCTAAATTTATAGACCTCTGGGGCCTGGGCCCCTACTCAGGGTGGCTGGAGAATGGGAAGCAGCAGCTCGTCCCAGAGGTCGAATGTGGCCCTCCAGCGAACATTGTCCCTGCCTGAGGCGAGGCGAGGAGGAGGAAGATCGACAACGACTTAGTGGAAGCCTTGCCAGTCACGTTATCTGTCGCGTCGCTTGGTGTCGCTTGCATAACATCTGCTGTTGCTGCTGCTGTTGCTGATGTTTCTGAAGCTTTATTTTTCTTGGATACACACAGCCATCAACATCAACATCAACATCAGCATCAGCACTGCTCAAATTTCAGTTTTGGGATGGCATCGCCTTTGGGATGGAACTCGATGCCGTCTGTGTTTTTGTTTGTTTTTGCAGCGGCTACTTGATTTCGCTTGGCTCAGGGGACCCGTAATGATGTGCATCTAATTTTCTCGGAACACCAAACAGTTTGTTTATCAAAGAAAAACAGATTAAAATGAAGTGGCATTTTCCACGCATTTGAGGAGCGAAGGCAAAGTGCAGGTGGACTCCACCAAGGCAGGAATAATAGGAGCTAGAGGAGAAGACTTGTCCTCCCCTCAATTTGGGCCATGAGCATGATTGAAGGTCAAGCGATGCGATACGTAAGTGGTGTGCATGGATGAATGTGATTTGGGTGAGAGTGGGAGCTAAAGTTCAAAGAGCAACACAAAGTGCAAGGGACAGTAGGGATGGTAGGGGGTGGGGTAAACACATAAAATTAGTAACACTTGGAGGCCGAAGGTAGCTTGGATTTCTGCCATAAACAATCCATAATCCATCCAAGCTTCCCTCGAATAAGTATAGATTACAGTAAACACACATATAAACAGTTAGACATGCGCAGACATAGAGTAGACAAAAAGCGAAAAAGATGCGCAAGAGACACACACAAAGAGGGAGAGAAAGAGATTACAAGCGAATATCGGATTCGCATATCCGTGCAAATTGAATGCGATGCCGACAACGCAATCGTAACTCTATATCTACATACGATAATGCTATGTTTTTCTTTGCTAGGTTTTGCTATTTTTATGTTTTTTTATACCAGGCCTTCCAACGGCTGCGTGGACGCTGAGGAGCAGCAGCATCAGCATAACGGTAATGCTGGCAGAGCTGCCGCCGCAACGGTGTGATTTGTTCATTTCGTTTTGCATTTTCGTGGGTGGGGTAGGAGTTACAGTTGCTCGCTGATTTATTTTTGTTTTCTTTGTCACGCAATTAACAATTTAGAATTGGGCATTGCCCAAATACAGAGTCGAAATCCGCGAACGAGTTCGAATAATTATCGCGTAGGAGCAGAATAACAATGATCGGAGCCGGAGACGCGGCGGCGATGACAAAATCTGAGGCAACTGCAAACGCAAACGCAAGCCGGCGACAGCGTGTGCACAAGAGTATTGCCAAATACAAATAATATGTAATATTCCAGACTCTTCTCCCTATTATTCACATCAAATTCAATCAAACTGCGACACGATATCACGAATCCCCAAGACGCTCGTCCGACAATGCAACTGCCAGCGAATTGACTCCTCAATCGAGAGTTTGAGCGATCGAGAGTGAGAGTGCGAGTGCGAGTGCGAGAGAGAGCGAACGGAGATTAAAACAGGTGCGCGGTGCGATCGAGCGAGACACGTCCGCTGCTCACGAGTTCTGCGGTTTCAATAAACTTGGCAGCGGGTCGGAGCTTGGCTTGGAGCATGGCTCTGCTTCTGGCTGTGGCTGTGGCTGTGGCGTTGGCAGTGGCAGCGGCAGCGGCAGCAGCTTCCAGGGAATATATGTATGTACATATGTATGTGTTGTACATAAGCAAGGGAAATGCTGGAAATGTGGGCTGCTTTTACTGCTTTGTTTACTGCTTGACACTGTCCAAGGTTTTTCACTCCCTTTGGAGGGGGTATAGCAAAGTCAAACTCGGGAAACTTTAATTAGAATCGGTTCATAGTATAATTTAGTTGCATCATCGATTGCTTGGATACCCAAAGATACTTTCTTGCCATATGTCCAGTCGCATTTCCATTGTCTGGTGCAACCGGAAAGCAGTGTGAAATTATCGATGTAATTGCTTACTTTTTTTTTTCATACACTCATACACTGCCCACACACTTACACAATGACGTATTGCCAATGACGTTCAAGGTCAGCAGCGCCGCCCCATCTGCCCTGATCTGAACTGATCCGACCCGATGCACAGCCTCTCCATCCATTATTCAGGCAACATATTCGCTTAGCATTCCGCCCGAACATTTCCAAAGTCAAGCGACTTCCAGATAGACACAAGCTTAGCATAAGACTGTAAAATTAGCAGCTGTGTGGCCGAAACTTTGCCCACTCTCTCTACAGAAATCTGTTAGATTGAGGAACTTTGCAGCTTTTTCGGAATACCCCATGGGAGGGAAGAGTATTTAAATGGAAACACACGCACTCAAAATGCAAATGGAAATTGAAAGCGAATGTGTTTGGTTTTGTTTTAATTTTGAGTTGACAGGTTTGGCTTGATTTTCGTCAAATATTATGCTAACAATGCATAATTTATGCGAACCATTTATCACAGATCCGACAGATCCTGTTCTCGCAGCGACTGCGTCAGAGTCTGGACACTGCTCACTCGACAACCAGCCTCTGAGAACAAAGTTGACACAAAACGTTGACATTCGCAACCTGCTGGGGCGGGTCGCGCGCTGCATTGAAATTTTGGCCAGACTTTGGGTTGACAGATCAATGAAGATGAGTCGATCTCCCGGAGTCAGTGATCGATGAACTTTTGTCATTTAAGCGTGTTCAGCGATTAACACGATCATTGATTAGATCATCGGCTTGCGATACCTCGTAGAGGCGAACTTGTGAAGAATGTTTTTGTATGCATGTCGTAGAGGTGACGACCATCCTTGAATGATGACCCATCCAACGTCTATGGTCTTCAGCAAATAATGCGCTAATTACCCTGAAATCCTATTGAAAGCCAACCCGTAACCATATCTGTTTGATGTCTCTGGAATGTAATTACGTTTTGGGCCCAAGCAAAAGCCATCAAACGAAATTATGTCAGCTTATTGGTTCCGCATTTAGGCATTTTCCCCGGCATTTGGCTTTGGACGATCAAAGAGTCAGCTTCCTTGCCTGATGATGGGTCGGTTCGGTCTCTTCTCTGGCCGGCCGTATAAGTGTCGTGCACGGGTGTAGGCCAAGGGGGGATTGCAGTACTCACACCCCTCCCTTGAAGCGCCCCTGTGCCCATAGCATCTGCGATGTCCATGATTGCTTGTTTGGCTTTGGCATCATCATCGGGAATCATGGCTATTATTACTGCTACAATTACAGCAAAGATATTGCCAAATGGGCCGTATCCCGCCCAATGGCGAACAGTAGCTTTGGGCTTTTGTTGGTTGCGGCGCCCGCCGCCGCCGACAATAAATCAAAACGCTTAGAGACGGACAAAGGCGCCGGAGCTGAGACAAAGCCCATCAATGGTCCCCGACCCGGTACTCAGCGGCGTCAAAGAAGTAATCAAAATTGTATTACGAAAACAAACGTTTTTATAAAATTCGTTTCGTTTCTTTGGCCCACAACAATGGGAATGGTAGGGCCTGTTCGGGCTCTAGCGCTGGCTCTAGCTCCCTCTGTCGCTGCGAAAACTGCAAAGTCAGCGACAGATAAACCACAGCAGCAGCAGCAACAACAGCACCAAAAGGCAACACCAAAAACAACAACTGAAAAAGCTGGAAAAGCATTCACGCTATATATTATTTACTTTAATAGAGTATCTCCGTTGGGAAATGACACCCAGAGTGGGGTCTGCGCCTGCGTAACCTCAAAACTAAAACCGAACCGAACTGAAGCGAGCACTCTGCGGCGACCCTTCACCTCGGCTTGGGCTTTTTTAATTGTTTTAATCATTCATTTCACACCAAATCCGATTAGCAGTCGCGACTCGCGGATTCCCCAAGTCGGACTTCCGTTAGCGGGTCTCTCTCTCTCTCTTGCGAGGATTTAAAACATTTTTGGGGAAAACTCAAAAGGTTAATACATCGCGTAATCACAGTTTGCCAAATTGTTTATGTTGCTTACGACTTCGCAACCAGTTTCGTTTTCGTATTAATAAAATTCAATAAAATGCAATTGTGCCCACATGGAAAACGTTTCCGAAAACGAAGACCCCAAAAACATCATCGCACTCGAACACTCGAAATGTGTGATGAGGCGGTGACGACGAAGCCGACCAGTTTGCATTCAGCATTTTGAGTGCTGAACCAGTTGACGGCTCGGCGGCTGCTTCGGGCCCAAAGACAGAGACTGTGCCACAGCGGCGCATCTTTTTTATTGCAAAAATATTGAAAAATGCGTCAACAACAACATCATCGAACATCATGCATACATACATATGAATGGTATGTACATATACATATGCATATGTATGGAAGATCTTGTTGGTCACCGTGACCTTAACACAAATTTCGATTTTAGTTTTATTTCGAGAAGGTGGTGGGGGCTACGTGCATCGGGTTTTTCTCATGTCTCGGGATGCGCTGGATGTGCTGATGGATACTGAGCCAACTTGCCGTTCATTAATAAAACCCAAGACTTCGGACATTCGGACATTCGGACATTCGGACATTCGGACATTCGGACATTCGGACATTCGGACGAGTAGTTGACTCATTCCCTGCCAACTCGTAGAATGCGAGCAACCAATATATATGACGGTTCATTGAAACCCATGCCAAAATCAAACAAACAAAAAACACATTAATAATTTGTCTTTTGGGACAGAATTTGTTGTTGGCCATTTGCGTGGGGCTTTTTTCGCCATAATCGAGCGTTCACACATAAGCTCTCTGACGGGGCGGCCGTGACTGAAGAAAGTCAAGAATAACCAGATCGGGCTCGAGTAGATTAGCTGGAATCCGCAGAGACAGATCGTAGACACATCTGATTGGCTTGATAGGTATTTGGATTCCATTTTAGCTGCAAGCTGCTGGACAATAAGTACATTTATTTTGAATCAAAATCGAGCCGTTGGCAAGTGGTGTCTCGGGTGACGTCACAGTTGCGCATTTGCTGCCATGTATCGACATGCTTCCCTGGCTGTCCGCGCCTTAACACAAGTTGTTCGCCTGCTTAAATGTAGGGGGGCTCAGTGGGTTAAGTGCAAAATGAAAACAAACCAAAAACAAAGACGACCAACAAATGAGCTCCCTGTTTCGTAGCCTTAATAATAGTTTTTCGTCGAAGCGCGAAAATGTCGTCAAGGGTGCGCTGATCAACACACTGAACGAGAATGCCCGCGAAATCGAGTTTGAGGTCAAGCAGAAGGGATTGGGTAAGACTCTGCACTCTGTGAGTCTCCATGAATCATTGCTAATTTGGGACACTCCACATTTCAGAGGTCGTAGGGCTGTGCGAGCAGACAAGTGCACTGTGCACCACCTTGGAGGCCCTATTTCTACATGGCCTGAAGGACTCGTTTCTGTCGGCCACCTACAATGTGATTGCAGGCGACGTAGAGCGGCGGCCAGACCCCAGCTTCTGGTCGCCCTGCATGGTGTTCATGCACAAGCAGGTGATTGAGCAGATCCAGGGACTCAGTCAGATTACCTCGGAGATCGGCCAGTGTCGCGCCTGGGTGCGCCAGTCCCTGAACGAATCGGTATTCTCGTCGTACCTCAACATCGTGCGCAAGAACAGCTCGGCCATGTCGCACTACTACAAGCGGCACGCTCTGGTGAAGGATGCCGATGGCCTGGAGACGGCGGCCAAGATAATGGAGAGCCTCGAGGCCTACGTCCAATTCGACTTGCCCGTGAACTCGAGCCTGTTGAACCACTGGCCGGACTACTCTCTGCAGCTGTCGGATCTGTGGACGCCTGCCCTGAAGTCATGTCCGGTATGCTCTGCGTTTGGGTCTGCTATATCTGGTTGACTATTTTTCACTCTCCCCTAAAGATCAGCAGTGGAATAGACATAGCCAGCTCACTGGGATCCGATATTGTGGCCATACCCACCCCGCAGCCTCTGCAGACCAACGAGCTCTTTTCAGAGTCCATTTCCAATAGCCCTTTCAGCCGGAGCGGCAACTTCGGAGTGCCGGACTTGAGCCAGCGCGAGAACCTCGACCTGCTCATACAAAAGTTTGACGAAATGGACGTTATAAACGAGGAGCTGTCCCCGCCCGCAGCAGCGGCAGAAGCGAGTGAAGCTGGAGAGGCACTGGCACGCTCGGGGAGCATTCAGAGGTCGCGGAAGCGGTCCAAGCGTCACATTGAGGAGTCCTTCGCAGACCTGGCAGATGGAGAATTGACCGGTTTGCCCCACGGCAGCAATTCCCTGTCCAATCTTATGCAGACCTCCTGGTCCGGCGACCTGGATCTGTCGCCCACGGCCATCGATGAGCCGTCCGCATCGAGTTTCTTTCAGCGCTCCGTGAGCATGAGCAGCTCGACCAGCCTGCGCTCTCCCACCACAGATCGTTGCAGCTACAACGCCCTGCTGCGGAAGCACGAGAACAACCGCGAGAGTGGAGCTGGTTGGTCGGAGATTTGGGAAAAGTTTCGGGCCAGTGCCTCCACCTTGAATGTGGCTCAGGCTCAGGTTCAGCGGGAGAGCGATCCTCCAGTGTCCGAGGACTTGAGTGACCTGCAGTCCCTAGATGTAAGAATGATTCAGCCAGAAAGCCACATACTCTACCGCCTCTCTCTTTCCTCAGACAAACTCCGAATTTGAGCTGCTCGCCTCGGACTTTGACATGGCGGAACTCAAGCAGATGGTGGCCCAGCTCTGCCAACTGGCGCGCGAGCCTGGCCTGGATGCCCAGGGGTTTCTGTGCAAGAGCTGTCAGCACCCTCTGGGAATAGGCTACACGAACTTTCAGTGAGTGGGCCAGTGGAGAAGGGAGCTTGTTCCATCTATTGAAAAGTGCATCTCTTGCAGAGTCTGCGCGTTCAGCGGAAGCTACTACTGCAACAGCTGCATGGATGTGGAGATGCAGCTGATTCCGGCGCGCATAATCTACAATTGGGACTTTCGCAAGTACAGCGTCAGCAAGCGGGCGGCCACCTTTCTGGCCGAGTTCAGGTCGCAGCCATTCCTGGACATGCAGCTGCTGAATCCCAGCATTTACTTTGCCTCCGACGCCATGGCCGAGCTGCAGTCGCTGCGCATTCGACTCAACTTTATTCGCGCGTATCTGTACACCTGTGCGCCGACCAGTATTGAGCTGCTGCAGAATCACTTCTGTGGCCGGGAGTACCTCTACGAGCACATCCACCAGTACTCGATAGCCGACCTGGGTATGATTCAGCGCGGTGGGCTATGCCAGCAGCTGCAGAAGGCCTTCAAGCTGGGCGAGGCGCACGTACTCAAGTGTCGTCTGTGCCAGCTGAAGGGCTTCATCTGCGAGATCTGCCAGAGTCCAAGGGTGCTCTATCCCTTCCACATTAGCACCACATTTCGGGTAAGCCAACTGCCCTGTGTATTTCTGGTAATGTTTTCATTTATTGCTTAATTTCAGTGCGTGACCTGCGGTGCTGTGTTCCATGCGGAGTGCCTTAACGAACAGCAGCCATGTCCCAAGTGCGAGCGACTACGCAAGCGGGAGGATCAAGGACTCCAGGAGGCCGTGCAGACGCTTAAGCAAAAGCATGAGGCCGCCTAGGATTCAATCCGCCGAATAGTTTCTGTTTCTGTTACCAAATAAGTTGAAAAAGTGCGATATGTTACAATGGTTAACCCAAGAAAAGGCTTTACTCTACATTTAAACTAGGTTTAAGTGCATTACTGTTATGGCTTGTCAGCATTTACACCATCCTCTACTCAAATATGCACTATATACACATACCTATACATACATACAGCCATATATACTCGTTTATATAGAAGTTATAACTATTAACTCACCATTTTTGTTGTGTGGGCTTTGGGCCAATGACAGGTTCAAAGTACGCTCAAAGTTTTTGGAATGATTTTGGAATTTATTTATCTGATAACTGGAATGAGTCGGATGCTGAATAAAACGTTATGTTAAATGCTGGTTAATACTTCTAGTGACACCAAGTCTAACAACAATGATTGAATTCAATAATAATAATACATAATTATGTAGAACAGTACTCGTATTACATTCTATTCTGCATACATTCAATAGTACCGATGTATGGCCAAAAAGATTTAACAAATGTTCACCACACGCGGGATGATACTCGTAGATAGATCGTAGGTTAAGGATACTTTAGAGATTTTATCACACAATTTCGGCTATTTCAACTAATGAAGAAACGATTCTTAAATGGATGTGTGACAAAGATTCGTTGAAATGCTCTCAGTTGTTGTGCTTCGGTTCGGTTCGGTTCGGTATTGCAACTATGTAACATTCTTCGTGTTGTTTGTGTATTTCTCAGAGTATTCCCCTCCAGTTATTTATATTTTTTGGTGGTTGTTGGGTCTTTAACATGTTCAGTCTAGTAAGATATTCATATAGAGGCGCTCCTAAATACAATACAATCTTATTGAAACATACTCGTGCATCCACAATATTATGCATATAAAAGATTGCTGCTATATTGCTGCTTTGCTTTCATAATTTCACTAACATTAGGTGCTAATTCCTATATACAGAACTCTTTTTTTGATTTTTGAGGGCTTGCTGGCCCAGTGCTGACAGGGAAGACGCTACAGAGAGATGAGATACATACATAGATTGGGATGCGTGCCCTCTGTTCTCTGCCCTCTGATGAGTGTTTGTTATATTGTTCCTCTTTTATTTTCTGCACTTTTCCTAGAATTTTGAACAATAGGCTTTTGCACAATCACTCCGTACCACACATCCGTATATCCGCATTGGGGTACAGCTCATGGACATGAGAGACCTCAGCAGACCGTCGAGTTGCGCGCCACACTCCCCGCCGCCTGGGATTGCGGTCGAACGGGGGAGCCACTGCCGGCCGTTCCGGCTGCTCCGCCGCCGTAAAGGAAACTGGATTGCCGGATCACGGACACTGCTGCAGCGGCCACGCCTGCTTGGGGCGGTGGTGCTGGTGCCCGATGCTTCTTCAGAGGTGCATAGGCTGGCTTCAGCGCTGGCGGCAGTGTAACTCCCCCCGGAGCCGCTGCATTTGTGCTGGCATTGTTGTTGCAGACAGCCGTTATGTTGTTGTTGATGCTGATGTTGTTGTTGCTGGGCGTCTGGGCAGCTGCAGCGGAGAAAGACAGAGAGAGGAAGTGGGGAGAGAGAGAGATATGTATATGTACAAAACTGGATAGATAGCGCAAGAGATAGATAAGTAAATGTGGGGGATATCTAGATCAATGTGTGTGCAGGCACAACTCCAACGAAGCTTACAAATGATCAACGGAAACGCAAAAGAGAACCGAAAAAGGTGTAAATGCAGCGAAAAGCAGAACTCAAAGACCTCACAGATGTAAATAAACAAAACAGGTGACGAAAGGATAGTCGTAAAATAAAGACAAGCCAAAGTGTGGCTAAAATATCGACTGAAATACTATAAATGACCGCAGATGTAAACTAGAGTAGAACTCTAAGGAACTTAGGGAACACCGCGGAGCATCGTTGCTGCTTTCTTTTATATGTGAAGAAATTATAATACAAAACAAATGAAGTGGTGTTGACATGTTGACGTATGTAAATCCAATTGAATTTTGGTTTATTGTTCCATCAAAAGATAACTTCAAAATTAAAACAAACAATTATATTCGTAATGTGCCTGTTGCATACTAGAACTAAAATTCATCTCATCGGATATCGGATCGGATATATAAAATATGTGTGTGTATGCATATATGTAGCAGAGATGTGTGAGTGTGTACAGATAGGTAAAAACTATATATATAATGGGGATACAATTAAAAAGCAGGAGCTACATGTATTACAAATGTTTTTTGTGTGTGTGTGTGTGGATCGATTGAGTGGGGGGATGTGGAAGAACTCTTCTCTTTACATATACACACACAGTACATATACATATACATGGATATAGGATATGTTATATCAGATATAGCTATGCGTAATAATATTGTGTGTGTGTGTGTGTGTGCTTAGTGGTAATATCGCGTTTCGGTTAACATATTTTATGGAGAGGATCTGCATACATAATGCGATCTCCATCCCCCTAACTTTGTTTTGAAATTTAACAAACATTAACATTAGATGGTATCAAAATAGATTATGTTTGGATAAAGCTATTCAACTTTAGGATTATGCAATATACAAAATAACATTCTTCGCTTCGAACTGCCTGGGCAGCGATGCTTCTACATTCTTTATACATTTATTTATTGGCTCGTTAACAGTAAAATAAAACAACAATAATCCAAAAAGATTCCTAAAACTCTCCTGGTTATCATAACATATAATATATGCGTGTGTGTTGGATTGGATTGGATTGGATTGGATTGGGGGGTCTTCAGTTTGTTAAACAATCATAATCATAATCATAGTAAGTAAGTAATACACGTTTAAAATAAAATACTACTAATATATATTGTATAAAAGATAAGAATCGTTGTATGCGAAATGCCGGAGCGTGTGCCTTGAGAAACATAATTACATAATTATATAACAGCATTCCATGCGTGTATATAACAATAATTGCAGTTACATATACATATACTTATGTATGCATGTGCATGTGGTTGTGTTGATGCGTTTCTCTATATACTATACATTGACATGTATTTTAAACACTCACAGAACAGGCACACCCACACACTCACACACGACTACATACCGTTGCTCGCCTTAAACGTTCGACTAGGATAGATTTTTTGTATATTAAGAAACGGCGGCGGCTTGGGGAACTCGGTCACATTGTGGAATCGCTTCCCGAACTTTGTCTCCAGATCGATGACCAGACGCCCCACAGTGGCTCCTGCTGCTGCAGCTGCAGCTCCTGAACCTGCTCCTGTTCCTGTTCCTGTTCCTCCTCCTGCCGACAGTCCGGAATTGCTGCCAAACTGATGCGAGGCGTTGGCCATGTGCGTGGGTGGCGTCAGCGGTGCATTTGGCCGTATGGATGAGTGCCGCTGTGGCGGCACTGGCGCTCCAGCTCCCGACCCAGATCCGGATCCAGCCTGCAAGAGAAAGAGAGAGAGAGTTAGTTGAGTCGCTTTTGTCCCATGTTTCTCGGGTAATCTCAGACAGCTCTAGTTACGTTGCGCTTGCCGTTGGGCATCAGCATTCGGATAACCTTGAATGATGGGCGGACGTGGCTGTGCTTCCGTTTTAGAATTTGCCTAAGCGAGAGCAGCCTCTTGAACAACCAGAACTTCACTCGAACATCCTGCTAGTGGACGCAGTTGGAGGATAAGGCATCAATGAGTACACGGCCTGGCAGTGGACAAGCAATGGAGGCCACTGGGCCACCGAAAAACAACGAAAGCGAGTGGAGCGTCGTGTGTCGTGTGTTTTGGTCACGTCTCACATTTGGAAAATCAATCTCCCTCACCTCCTCCCCCCCTTTGGCACGAAAATAGGTGAGTTATAAAAAAAGTACGACTGGCGCAGCCAGGAGGCTCCTACACAGAGAAGCGCCTGCGCAGGGAGAATCTAATCAGCGAGTCGAAAGCTGAGAGGCAGCTCTGCACTGCGCAAAAAGCGAACAAGCAAATGTTCTTTGGGATAGGTTATGGCCGTGACTCTGTGCCAGTGTGACACTGTTACTTCGTGACTGATTTGAACAGGTGGAGCCCCAACAGTCAACGCAAACCATATCCGTCACGATCTCATCTCTAATGAGAGCTTCTATCTGCCAGTCATTTGTCACCTTTGCCATTTGGGGCAACCTGTTGTTGTGTAGCTGCTAACGCTACTGTTGCTGTTGTTGCTACTCTGAATACTTTGCCACTTGGCTACTCACAGTGCTCGATTGTCGCTGCGGCGGTGGTGGAGGTGGACAGCTGCGGTGGGGCGGCGGGGCTGGTGGATTGATGGGGCCCCCATTCAAAATGATCGGCCTGACGGTCGATGATTTGGGGCTGGCCGTGGCCGATGAGGAGGCCGACGAGACGGACGCTGGGGCAGGCAGCGGCGGCAGTGGTGGCGAGGAGTTGCCATTCCCACCGTTCATACCGTTCCCGATGCCAACCGCACGGAACTGGTCGCGCAGGGCGGCCACACTGCTGCTGCTGCTCGAACTGGAGGGCGGTTGGGTGATGGGCGACGAGGAGGCTTGCGTCGTGCACGCCGCACTCTGCACCAGGGCCGTGTTCACGGCACTAAACGGCGCCGCAGATGCTCCTCCAGCTCCGATGTTGTTCAGATTGCTATTGGAGAAGCTGCGCGCCGGTGTCGGCGGTGGTGGGGGCTTCACCGATGGCCGTGCTACAGGAGAGAGGAGGAGAGACGTCTTTCCATTATGCTAATCTGGGTATTATGTTTGTGGTACTCACACTTTGGTGGATTGGGGGCACAGCGCATGCTGGCGACGCTGCCGTCGCTGCCCTGCAGCTGTGGCGCAGCCCGCATGGTCCCGAAATGCTGCTGGGTGGGGAACAAAGGCCCGGCCGCTGGCGGAGATCTGTGGAGGAGGCAGACGCACACATTAGTAGCGTTTAGGGCAATGGTCGTGGCCATGGCCAGAAATCAAAGCCAAGCAAATCGAAAGCCATAGAGATAAGCAAAAGCAAAAGCAAAACCCAAACGAGATCGATGATCGATGGATTGACTGGAGCGTGGTGTTGGGACTGAAGCAAGCGGTGTGCATACTTAGCTAGGGTTTACTGTGTGTGCTCTATACCTGGGCGACTTCATGCTGTGGTGCCGCGTCACCGCCGGGCGCTGCTGTCCGTTGACCAGAATCAACTGCTGGAGCCCCGGCGGCTTCGGAGCAAAGTTTGGCTTGCCAAAGCTGATGGCCGGCTTCTGCTGCTGCGACTGCGACTGCGATTGAGTCTGGGACTGCGGTTGAGGCGGCGGCGGTGTGGGCGTACTGCTGGCCGTCGAGGGGGGCGAGGTTTGCTGCGAACCACCACCACCAGCACCACTAGAAGGACCAGCACCACCGAATAGCGTTGACTTATTGGGCGCCAGGTTGCGCAGCGATCCCGTCGCGGACGTCTTGCTAGAGTTCAGCGACGTCGTGGAGGCACTCGCAGTGGTCTTTGCCATCGAACTATTTACAAAACTATTCCCTAATGAGATACTGTGGATACCATGGATAGTTGTTGTAGTTGTGATGGGTGTGTAGAGTTGTGTGGTGTGGGTGAGTGTGTGGAACAGGGAGGATAACCACAAATGCCCGTCAAAGAAATCCACCCGAAAATAAAGAAAGAAAATGAGGAATTTTTAACAAAAGTTTCAAAAATGGAAAAACCAAAGAAAATAGTATAAAACATCCAACATGCATGGCTGCTGATGGATTCAAGCAGAAACTTACTTCAGATTGGCCGCCTTGCTCTTGACGCTGCCAATGCCGCCGGCACTGACTGTGGCACTGGCACTGGCTCTGGCACTGGCACTGCTGTTGCTGCCGCTCTCCGAGAGTGTGGGCGAGGCGGCTTTGACGGGAGCAGCTGGTGGCGGGGCAGGGCGGGGTACGATGTTCATGCGCTCCAATATCGAATCACTTGAGTTGGTTTGCTGTGTCAGAAATAGATGCGTCAGTCATATGCAAAACAATTATAATTCTCCTTGCCAAGCTCCTCAAATACGAATTCCTCTACGTATAGGTTTCCAATCGCTTAACCCAGATTCATTGCTCAAAAAAGAGCAATTAGAAACAGCATTCCCTGCCTACCCTTGACATGGGGCCTCCCACTCCCCTGCACTGCTGATTCTTGCTATATTTATTCCCATATATATGGGGGGATTTATATTTATCCGTTCGCCCATCCGTGGGTCCGTGCTCAGCGGCGGCACTCACCTTTGGCGGTTGCGGTGGAGGTCCACGATTTGTTTTCAGATTTGCTTCTGTGGCATTGATATGTGCGCTGGGTGCGTGCGGCGACTGTTGCTGCTTCTGCTGAGCCTTCTGGCGCTTCAGTGTTAGGTGCATGGCCAGCTCTGTGTTGAAGTCCATGGGTCCGTTGCTGGCTGCGGCAGCGGCAGCGGCAGTGGCCGCTGTGGGGGGGCTGTGGCTTCGTTGCTGTTGTGCTGGTGACGCGGCCGCCGCTGCTCCGAGCGCTGGTGGTGGTGGAGGCGCTGCCGCTGCTGCTGCTCCGGCTGCGGGTGGCGGTGCGTGGGCGGAAAGCGGAAATCAATTGAGCAACGAAATACATAATTTGAATAAACATTTGCTAAACCTACTGCGATAGCCGTTCACGGGCTTCAGCTTCGGCATTTGCGAGTAGCCTTCGAACAGGCCCCCCAATTTCGGCGCTCCATTGCCAAGGCCGTTGCTGCTGCCGCCGCTGCTGCTGCTGCTGCTGTTGTTGTTGCTGGTGTTGGTGTTGTTGTTGTTGAGGGTTCGCTTGGCGCCTCCTGCAGCAGGATCGCCTGCCCCACAGACCTTGCCCGAAATCGCTGGCCCACTCTTGTCCACAGTGTTCGTCTTGCGGAGCTTGGTGCCCTTCTGTATGGAGCTGAGCAGGGCAGAGCGTGGATCTGCGCCACCTTTGCCTCCACCGCCGCCGCCCAGCTTCAAGCCGCCCATGGCCGGTGGCGGCGGGGGCCCTGGCGGAGGCGGTGGTCCCGGTGGGGGCGGTATGGCCATCTGTAAGTGGAAATAAAACAGTTTTATTTATTAATTTCGTTGCTCTTTTAGCGTCTTTTAGGTAAAGTAATTCTACTTTTTTCTTAGAGCTTCTCTTTAGTCTCATCTCCGCTTTGGATATTCTCTTCTGGCCACAATCTCTGCGTCTGCCTCGTAGGGGCTTTGGCTCAAGACTGGGTCTGCGTCGAGAGACTTCCAAAGCGGAGGTACCGCCAAGACCGCTGCCACCACCCACACGCCGCAAAGACACACAGCTACAGCCACAGACACAAACACAGACACAGGGCAAGAGATTTAATAATACAATTTCTATACTTATTATTTATGTCGTGTTTTGTCTTGTCTTGAGATTGACGCCTCGATAAAGCAGCCAGCGAGCAGCAGCATTCCCACGCACCGAAGCCAGACACGCTCTACGGGCCAATCGATGGATTTGCTGCATGAAAGATTTGAGTCTAGCTTGATATACCCCCTGGGAAAGAGTATTAACCAAAATAAGAAATTTCAAGCTCAAGCAGCGCGTAAAGCTGCAGAGTTTGACAGCCACTGGACCAGGCCGACATCCCACAAGCAGCCGGAGGCCATCCCACGTGATCTGTGCAGATCTGACAGTATGTATGGGTGTTGTCGATGCTGACTGTCTTTTGTTTTCACCATGCTCATGGCTCTCTTCTCCAAGCGGAGTAAATGTGCATTGAGTAGAAGGCGAAAGCGGTTAGCTCTAACCATTATCAGCAAATTATAATCAAGGTATTTCTATGGCATTACTGATAAGGCGCGGGGCAGCTTATGATTGCGATTCTAGATGATTTCCATAAAATGTTCTGTAAATTGCAATTCTCAATCAATTCAAATAGATTCTCTGCAATGAAGTACCCGAGTTGGTGCGCTTTCTGCTTCCTGGCTGTTCGTCTCTGTCCCGTGGAGGTAAGTCCACAAACCAAATAATAAGTGAGCATTTAACGAAACGGAATCCCCAACAGTCGCTAAGTCTGGTGGAACAATTGGAGGCCATCTATGAGAAGGCAGACACGCTGCTTTCCAGGTATGTTTTCACAGAGTAATTCCTACAAGAATCAAAGCTGATGGTATCAATTTTACAGCTTGAAAGAAGAACTGCAACAGCACACAAACAGATCCCAGAAGACCATCAAGCTGCTTCCCACATCCTGCCTGACAGCAGCAATCGATAGAAATGGTTTGTACACCCTAGAGGTCCCGGCACTGGAGCCCTTTCCCGTCTTTTGCGAGACTCAATTGGCAGGACCTGGCTGGACTGTGATTCAGCGACGCACCAACGGGAGCCTCAACTTCTTTCGAAACTGGGAGGAGTATAAGCAGGGCTTCGGAGACCTAGAGGGGGAGTTCTTTCTGGGACTGGAGAAGGTGCGCGCCCTGACTGCCCTCGAACCCTTTGAGCTGTACGTGCACCTGGAGGACTTTGATGGCGAGCGGAGGCACGCGAGATTCGACGAGTTTGCCCTCGGCAGCGAGGAGGATGCGTATGCGATGAATGCTCTGGGCAGATACACAGGCACTGCCGGCGACTCCCTTCGATCCCACCGCAAGATGAAGTTCTCCACCTACGATCGGGACAACGATCGGGAGTTCACCAAGAACTGTGCCTTCTACTATCTGGGAGGATGGTGGTACAATGCCTGCCTGGATAGGTACGTTTGTCCTTTATCTAAACTGCACTTGAACTCATGTCTCATATTTGCGATCTGTGAAGCAATCTAAATGGCCAGTATATCCAGGGCGGCAAGTACGAGGAGAAAATGTTCGCCCGAGGCATGTGCTGGCGCTCGTGGCGTGGCCACAACTACGGCTATAAGGTTACCCAAATGATGATAAGACCAAAGTGCCGAAATATTCCAAAGTCATGACTCACGCGTGAGACAGCGAAGGAGAAGAAGGAGGAGGAGATTCTCAATGAATAAAATATTTTACTTTTATTATGGCTTGAAGATCATCGTGGAACGAGTCGTAAACAATTTTCCATGTACAGACTCGATTGATATGCGAAATTTGTTTTCATTGAATCATCATCGCATCAGCGAATTGGCTGAGAATACAAATCGGAATCTTATTTAGTAAACGCATATGTACGATAATCATCATTGAAATAGTGGCCTGACATATAGTTTCCCCAACTTCCTGATAGACTATCGCCCTGAGTGAAACTTGACCTACGATTCGGAATGCAATTGATAAGGAAATCGATTCAGACTCGTGTTGCAAATGCTACAACACATCGATCCCTGCAGTCTAATAGATTGAGGCAACCGAGTCAGAGAGGACAAGATCATGGAGCTATGCTGGCTGTGCATTTCAATAGTGAGTGTGGGCTTCCACTTTTCCTATGGCAGTCAGAGTAGTTTGGAAGTTGCTTTGGAGAAAGCAGAGGGTCTGCTTTCCAGCCTCAGAACTCAAATTGAGGAGCTCAAGCAGATCTATGGAGAGGCAGTAACACAGAATAAGCCTCAGGAGGGTGAGTAGGAGGCTTCCTTTACAGGAAATCATCAACTAATCTGATCGCTTCTCTCCTGTCAGCTGTGGGCTATCCCTCGTCCTGCCTGGCTGCTTCCACAAACACCAACGGGGTCCACACCATACAAGTGCCGGGACTGGAGCCCTTTCCCGTCTTCTGCGACACTAGTCTGGCGGGATCCGGCTGGACAGTGATCCAGCGGCGACAGGACGGCAGTGAGAACTTCTATCGCAGTTGGTCGGAGTATGCCCAGGGGTTTGGCGACCTCAGCGGGGAGTTCTTCATGGGCCTGGAGCGACTGCACTTCCTGACGCTGGCCGAGCCCTACGAGCTGTTTGTCCACCTGGAAGACTTTTATGGCGGAACCCGCTACGCCCGGTACGAAGACTTTGTCATCGGCAATGCCTCCGCCTCGTACCCGCTTGCTGTTCTGGGCAAGTACTCCGGGGATGCCGGAGATTCGTTGAGTTACCAAAAGGGTATGCCCTTCTCGACCTTCGACCATGACGATTTGGGGCATGGATGCGCCATGACCTATGTGGGGGCCTGGTGGTACGACGACTGTCAGTTCAGGTGAGGGATCTTTCAGTACACTCTTCCTTGAAGACTGATTTCCATTGATTAAATTGGGTTTCAGCAACCTCAACGGACAGTACGTGGAAGGGGGCAGGTATGAGGCGAAGCTCTCGGGTCGTGGCATTTGCTGGATGACCTGGATGGGCTACGACTATGGCTATAAGGTCAGTCAGATGATGATACGGCCAAAGTGCTCCAATAGCATACAGAGGCAGCGGCAGCGCAGGCAGAGCCTCAATTTCAATTGAATTTCAATTCCCATTTCAATAGGATCTGAATCGTTGTTTTTGTTGATAAACTTTATCAGCGTTTACGCTTTTATTTACATTTTGATAATACGTTTTCACTGTTGCTTTCTGGTTTTGTTTTGTATTAATTTTCGGGTTTCGCACACACAAACGGCAAAAAACAAAAGTAATTCGTTTAATTTGAGTGAAACGCGCGTTGCTCTCCGCTCGCGATTTTGATTCGAAATGAAGAACTTAAACGGCTGCGCATGCGATGCCCCAACTTGGGGCCCCAAGCATAGCCAGTGAGAGGGAGAGGACACTTTTGTCCAAGGTGTGCATCAGTACAGGGTGGGGCGGACTCACTACACAAACACAAGCACTGGTAAATTCAGCTGAGCAGTCATCGCGTGAGAGCCAGTGCCCTGGAATGTCTCCTCACCCCACACAGCTCACACACTTCTCTCCTCCACTGCGCTATAACTGTGCGTTTGACGAAGACGATGGCAAAGGCGAAGGTGAGAGAGAGAGAGAGAGAGCACGAGAGATAAACTGAGAGAGAGCGTGTGTGTACAATTATAAAATTAGCTGTTAAGGTCGCTGAGGACAGCCAGCTGTGACGTCACAATTAACCAATCAAGTTTTGCGATATGCAAAACCGCAGGCCCCAACAAAGCCAGTGACAAACGAACATACACACCCAAGGCAGAGACAGAGACAAACGCATACATGCAAGAATGGGAGAGCGACATGAAGAAGACAGACAGACAAAGAGAAACTGCGATTGCAGCCAGCACCTGTCATCAACGTTGTAAACCGATGATCTCCTCCAGATAGGAGGATGGGAGCACACGAAAGAGACGCAGAAGAAGCAGCACAAAAAACGCTTAACCGTAAGCTTAGTCTTGTGCGTGAGTGTGAGTGGAAACGTGCGAAATATTTTGTAGTCTCAACTCATCAAACTTGTACAGTGGGACAGGCCTATTGAAAACTGGCCATCCCCCGACTGCATGATGCTCGATCTTGCCTCTGTGTGTGATTCATTGCGATTGATTCAGCCAGACGGATTGCCGCTTAATTGAACAGCTGCTGACGCTGCTGTTGTCTGGAATATTGAGTACCAGTACCCGGAGGAACCGTTGAACGTATGTATCTAAGGGATGGTGCTGGGTACGAGAATGATTTCATTTCAGACGAAGAAAAAATTAAGTTGTTGTACTCATTTAAATTCGGCTTAACCCGTTTTCTTGGGAACTTGGCATGTTTGATTATGATATGCACTGTACACTTATGCCCTTCAAGGGTAGAGGGTAGACATTCCATCAATATATTTCCTTATGGAAGCTTTTTAGGTATCAAAACCCACTCAAACTTGATCAAATATTAACTCAAACGATGCATGACTCATGAGCGAGTGCGAGTTCGCTGGAAATTAAAGGTATTATGGCCCAGGTATTTCTTCAGTTTCTCTATCTTATCTTTATCGCGACGGGCATTGCTTTTTCGATGGTGCTGGGTGGTGCTGGGGTCTGCGAGTAACAGAATTTGGCCAATTAGACAAGAAAACATTTGCACACAAATGTGAATGGTCATTTCCATATGTATAGTCAGAATCGCTTAGGATTAATAGCCTCTTGTCAACTAGGAATCATATACTCCACTAAAATATCCATTCCTATAATATTCTACAGGAAAGGTTCAATGACAGCAAGACGATTGATTCGATTTGTTTCGAGGTATTTCTCTGCTGATAGGGCGTTCAAGCGTGAGTCACTCCACTAACAGTCTCCCACACGCTTTCGCAATCGTTCCCATAAAAAATGTAATAATTTGAGGTCCGTTTTAGCTCCTGCTCCTCATCCTTAGGTTACAATTTGGCGCACATTCAATTAACGTTTTCGAGGTGTGTCTTCCGGGTCTCCATCCCCATCCGAGAATGCTTTGGATTGCCCCAATAAACTGTCATCAAGTTAATTGCCCCAAATGTCCGTATAAACAAGGGCGTGTGTGTCTGTTATGTTCCCCGATCTCAAGCGTGAGCGATGGACATCGAATCAAATTGAATCAAATCGCGGGAATCATCACCATCATTCCGTTCTTTCCGGCACGCACACACAAAAGCCGACAAATTGCCGTCCGGCCGGCCCGGACTGACAAAATGTATATCCATTATGTAAGTCAAATATTGTGTGTTAAATGCTTAACACGCCTATTGGAAATACTACGCTGTAAGACAATATCCAGAAAACGCAAAACGTTGCGTCAGTTCCACAGGCCCCCCTCCCTACCCGTCCCATTCCAACCACAAGGTGTCCCCGCAATCCGATACGATCCAAACAAAACCAAGCCAAAGCAGAGCAAAACAAAAGCAGATCAGGGCGAAGAAGCATAATCAAATGTGAGGCAACAACGTTCAGGGGACAGTTTAGTCAACTCCCAGAGGTTCTCTTAATGAAGGCAATTTGTTGAGGTTTTGCATTGTGTTTTGGTCTCTTCTTTTCTCTTCTTTAGCTTTTCCTTCTTTTGGCATATCGTTTTGTTTACTCGACAATTTCCGCAAAGTTTCTTTGGTGTTTTCATGGCGGTTTTTATGAATGGTTCCCAAATTAGATATTCTACGTTGAATCACTACTGCTAAAGAGAGAATCTTTAATTTTAGGGGCACTACACAAGCTAACTCTGTATCCTGGCCTATTTATACTAGATTCTATATTTTATTATGATTCATTTTACACATCTATCCTATGGTCCAAATCTAATCTAAAGTTTCCTTTCACTTAATTTGGCCAGTCAGACAGACAGCTCTGAATCAGACTCTGAGATGGAAATGTTAATTTCTTAGTGATTCATGCGGGTTCTGTTCTAAACGATTCTTGGGGAATAAAACCAGTTATATAACCCACACCATACATACATATAAATTAATTTATACGGATTTTCTATGTATGCAGTACAGAGCATGCACTGACTTTCGCTTTCAATTTCTTTTGTTTTTTCTGTCGATTTAGCTGCGGCTGCCTCTAGTTCCAATTACAAAGCCAAAGCCGTTGGACTAACAATTAACATTTACATTTCAATTGCAAGTCGTGCAGCAAGTAGTGGTGCTCTTGATCATCATTGCTCATGGCACAGGGGGACGGGGGATGAACGGGGCGGGAGTGGTCAGCATTTCATTGAAATTCCAAGAGCAACGCCACATGATAATAATATGTGATCGCAGTGCAAAGCACTTCCAGCCAGCCAAAAACGCAAAGACAACACGCTCCACACACTAAAACGGAACGAACGAACCATTTCTTATGCCAAATATTTTTAGAGATTTTGTTTACCATTATGTGAAAGATCGCGTATACCACAGAGGGCAGCTTGACGTAGATAAATACACTATGTTGAACAAAGTATTTGAAAAGAGCGGAGAACAATGGGAACGAAGCGAAAATAAATCTGCAAGTGATTCAGAATTCGGGTGGAGAAGAATGCATTTCAGATTACAGACGCATGCACATAGGCTGAGTCGGACTCATAGAGCATCAACCGGTAACATTCCGGTAACCTTGGTTCGCTTGCAGTTCAAAGTACATCCCACACATACATACATAGATATGTACATGCATATATGGAATGCGACACATCAATATTTCTAAACGCTGCGTTTTGAATTACTTCTGATCTAAGCTTTTCTCTGGGCATCATTTTGCATGAATTTTGTAATGGTAGCGTCTGCCCGTCCTCTGCTGCTACTCATTCATCGTCCCTCTCTTTATCTGTGTTTACCTGCCGCAGCTCTTCAGCAAGCCCCCCCCCCCCCCCCCCCCCCCCCCC